GCATTCAGGGCCAGCTCGTTCTGGTGGTGGGGACTGTCCTGTGCACTGTAGCATGTTGAGTAGCATCTCTGGCCTCCACCCAGATGCCAGTAGCACCTTCTTCCCCAGTCATGACAACCAAGAATGTCCCCAGACATTGTGAAGTGTCTCCTGGGGATGGAGTCATCCCCAGGTGAGAACCACTGGCTGCAGGCAGTTTTTCAGGTACTTCTTTGCTAGTGTAGCTCAATCCTTCACCCTGTCCCCACTCCATCAGGGAAGAGGATGTCCCTAGAACAGGCCCCTTTCCAACCCCAAGACTTCGGTCTCCTTAAAAGAGGCTCTGGGCTAAGCTGCTGCCCCCACCCCCACCCCCGGCCTCTTTCCTCTTTCCATGGGACACATGTCACCTTGTGATTGAGCCTGACATTTTCCACAAAAATTAAAACACTGTCGATATTAGAGACTTAAGCTTCTCCGGGTTATTTGGCTCTCTCCCCTATTAATTATGAATTTTTCCTTTGCAATAGATTTGCAAGATCTTTTCCTGACATAAAATGTGTGGCTTATCTGGCTGACCTCTTCCCTTCAACACTGATGCTCACCTTGCTACAGTCACTGCACCCAGGGGTCCTCCCTGTGCCTTTCTAGGTACTGCAGGATGCACAGAGAATGTGTGGATGGAGCCCCCAAGGCATAGGGCAGCTTGTTGGAAGGTGCAGGCCCAGGAGAGGACAGCAGGTCAGGCCCGTGGTTCCCTGTCTGCTCTCTTTCTGAGGGGTGATGGCAAGAGCAGCCCAGCTGGTGGCCCCCAGGTCTAACCACTTTTCCTCCAGGAGTTCCAGCCTCGGTGTTCCTGCCGTGGCCCAGGGGCACAGACGTTTCCTGTGTGACTTTCCTTTCCTTTCCTGTGCAGGGTAACTGTTCACACGTGCTCTCTTTCCAGTTTCCTGCAGGGAGCGGGGTGGGCCCTTGCTGGCCTGGCACCAGCCTGAGTACTGAAGGAGGCCCCCTCATCGAGTCTCAGCCAAGGTAGGCCAGGTGGGAGGCCACCCCAGGACCCTCATCTAGGGGGGGGGGGGTCTTCCCTTTAGAGAGGGAGTGTCACTGCTTTCCTGGCACTGAGCTGCCATGAGCTCCACCCCCCGCCCCAGCCCTGTGAGCTCCCATTTTGCTGATGAGGGGGCCTGGCTCTCCCTCACTGGGCCTCGCTTTCCTCAATCCAGTAAGGGAGCTGAGTTCTGTCCTTCAAACTGCGTGTCCCCGGCTCCCTGCAGGTGGAAAACTGGTCACCAGTCATCTGCACCCAAACAAGCATCTCTCCCCGGGACCCCTGGTGGTGCCCCTGGTTCTGTGGGTTGTTTGAATTCAGTGTGTGCATTTTTCTGGAGAAAAGGTCTAGAACTTTCCCTGAATCTCCTCAGAGTGAAACGGCTAAGAACCTTGACCGGGCCGATCTTGGGCGGTCCCAGTTCTGGCCCAGGGTCTGACCTGGCTTGTCTCCTCACTTCCCACTTGGCTCTGTGCCCCAGGCAGGCCACTGGGTGCACTGTCCCTCCACCTGAGGAGTGTGCGTGTGGGACGAGGGTGTCCTCTCCCCTACTCCAGAGGCTCTCACAGTCCGTCACCTCCCTCCAGTCCTTTCTCCCGCCCTGCCTGCCGGGGCGAGCACTGGGTGGCCAGCCTCTCCTGTTACAGGCCTCTCTGCAGAGGCGGTGCCTTCTCAATTATTTATGGCCAAGCTTCTGTTTCTGTCTAGCAAGTGTGGAGGAGGGACTAGGGGTGCAACCCTGGGTGAGTTTTTCTTTCCCGCCTCCTCCTCCTCCAGGGATAAGGTAGCATGTTTTTGCCTTCTTCCCTTGCATAAGCTTTGTCACTAGTACCTGTTGTACTAGTGACACACACACACACACACACACACACACACCCTGCACAAGTACCAGAGGCCATTCAGTCAAAATGGCCCCACCATTGTTTGAGCAAAGAGGAGGGGGAATCGCGTCTGAGTCTGATGTCCTTGCTGGGCAACGTGACCCCACATGGACATCTGGAAGGCCCCCAGGGCAGGGCCTGCAGTCATGGCCCATGGTGAGTAAGACACAAAAGAAGCTAAGGCCAAGGTCAGCCAGCCATCTTGGGTGACAGCAGCAGGTGGAGCAGAACAGAGATCCTGTAGTGAAAGACCAGGAGGTGCTGCCATGCCAGGGTCTGGTGTGATTTGGGGAAAGCTGCTGACTGGAGGTCAGGAGGACGACCCTCTGCCAGCACCCGCAGGCCACATGTTAGATACAGTGGGTGCTGTGGCACATCCACCGCCCCCATAGAGGTTAACACCATCAAGTGCCGGCTGTTCTGGGCACTGGGCACTGGGCAGCGTGGGACAGGACAAAACATGAAGCCACCATCTACTGCACATTGGATGGGGCAGGCAGGGTGAGAGAGAGACAAGCAAATTAGATAAGCAGATGGCAGAGTGTTAGGGAGAAAAAGTCAGTGGGGAAGAGGTTAAAATTTTAACTCAGTGATCAGAAAAGTATTTCCCCAATTCCCCTCAAGAAGGAGACATTTGGGAGAGAACATTCCAGAGCCCTAAGAGGTACTCAGGGAAAGGCCAGGAATTCATCTTGTGGCTGGAGGGAAGGCAGGAACGAGAGGGAGGGGATGGGGGCTGGAGGGGCCAGCAGATGGTGCAGTGACCATTTTCACAGCCCTTCACCCCATACTGCATGGGAGACAAGCTGTAGGCGCAGGAGCTGGGGGTCTGGGGAGACTGGTGGGGAGAGGTGGCTGGATTCTGGGTGTGCTTTTGGCAATCGATCCAGCTGGGTTGGCCATCAGAGCTCTGCCCGCAGTAGCTTAATATCTGGGAAAGCAGACAGCTGAAGGCCCAGCGAAAGCCCCCCAGAATGGTGTTTGGTGGAGCTGCCTGCTGAGGTCAGGCCTCTTATCTTCCTTTCCCTACAGTACCCACAAGGGGATCAAGCCCCGTGAAGCCACCAGGATGGAGGACGCAACCGGTACCATGCGCGGCCTCATTATTGAACTCTCCAACCTGAAGTAAGAGGGGATGGATAGGACAGGCAGTGGGATGGGAAAACCAGTGTGGCAGCAAGAAGGAGGCACCCTATAGCCGCCCAGACCTCCCATCAAAGGGCCTCCAAAAAGTGTCACTCCTCCTGGGCTCTCACCTATTACGTCATAGATTCATCCTTTACAGACTTGTTAGGTTCTAGAGAGGGCCTGGGACAGTCAGTGGTCCACTCTGTAAGAGGTTGATTCTGATTGTGCATGTGTGTCTGAGAGTGTGTGAGCCTCTGTGAGAATGTGCAAGCAGGAGTGTGGGTGTGTCCTGCTCTGCCTCATAGTCAAGCCAGCATATTCCTGCAGCCGGCTGATCATGAATGCCCACCGGGACCTGGAAGCATTCAAGCGCCTCAACTACCGGAAGGCAAAGCCTGCAGGGAAAGCCCCCATGCCCTACACATCAAAGGGGGCTGGGGCTCTCCCTCGAGGGGAGCAACCCTGGCGGGATTTGTAGATGCTTCCGAATGGGGAAGCTGGGGGACTGTGTGCAGGGCTTACCCCTCCCATGGGTGTATGTTTTGTTCAAACCCTGGCCCCAGAAGTGCCTGATGTTCCTGCCACAGAGCTGTCAACAATCCCCCTGCAGACCCCGGGAAGCCTTCAGTCCCTGATGTTGCCCCTGGTACTTTGTTACCCCTGGTACTTTGTTATCCCCAAGATGCTCCAGCGGGTCCTAGTGGGCCCCAGAAACTGCCCTTTAGCCGACCTGGAAGTCAGCCTCCCTGGGAAACCCTGGAGGCCCCACTGGAGTCCACAGCAGCCCTCTGGAGTCTGTATGGGGAGGGAACCTGCTCCCCAAGAGGCTGAGGCTGCAGGGGGAAGTGGAGGCGGGCTGGGGCCCCAGGAGCAGGGCAGGGCCCAGAGCCACCCAGATGTTTATCTGGGTTTGCAAATTTTGGCTCCTTAGCTGAGGTTATGGCAGGTTCAGAATTTGTTTCTTTCCTGGAGGAAAAAGGGCCCCCTTTGTTGGTTGTGCGTTTGTCTCTCTCTGGATTTCCATTTTATTTATTTTGGAAAGAGCACTAATAAATGATTCCCTAGCAAGGCCCCGGACCTGCTGTTTGAAGGTTAAAGCCTTTGGGTTCCTTGATATTCGGCCCACAAACCTAACTACCTCTTTCCCCTTTTGCTTCTCATCCTCCCTAGGAGGGCAAGTAGGGCTATTGCTGGGACATAGGTCAGGGTGTCCGCACGAGCTCCCAAGTGTGTGGGATTCCCTGGGAGCGGGTGGCTGTGTGGGCCCATTGAGGCACCCACGCCAGCACCTGTGAGGCAGTGAGCCCACAGGACTCACCTGGAGAGGTGTTTTTTTTCCCGTGCTCAGTGGCCCTGTCTGTTCTCCATGAGACAAGCTGCTTTGAAGCCCCAGACCGGAAGGAGGCAGTCCTGGGGGGTTGTTATTAAGACAGGATGTCAAGGAGGGGTCACTGCACACCTCATCCCCCACAAGCCTGACCACAGCCCCCAAGGTAGCATCAGAAGCAGCCCCAGACACTGCCATCAAACCCATTTCTCAGAAAAAAAAGCTATTTCTATTAAATTGGTCACCACCAGGTGGACCAGACCTGTCCCTTTATTAGTGGCTCTGCCAGTGACTCCCTCACCCAGACTCCTAGGGCCATGGCAGAGCACCCCTCCCACTGCCTACACCCTCGGAGACTATTCAGGAGGGGAGCAAGTCAGATCAGGGTCCCCTTTCACCTCTCCTTCCTTGACCCCGCCAGGACATGCCAGTTTGTCCAGTGTGTCCAAACCCTAGGAGCTCTGCCCTTGGCAGTACGCAGCAGCTGGCAGTGCCTGGGATGTTGTGTCCCTAATTCAATTTGAAGACCCTTTGGACTGCTCTCTGTGGTGTTTTTGGCCTCCATTCTCCCCCTCCAAGCCTAGGCAGCAGGCTGTCTTCAAGGGCAGGCTCCCACCCCAGACTCTCCTTCTGGGTGGCCCCAGGTCCCAGTTCAAGGGCAGAGGGGACCTGCAAAGTCCAAATCCTGCCTCCACCCACCCCTGGGAGAAAGACCGTGTGTGTTGGGGGTGGGGGCCAGCATCCTGACTTAGGGGAATGTGGATGGACACTTGCCACCTGCCAGGGAAACAACCTCCAGTGATGGAGGAGACAGTCAGGGGTAGGTGTTCCTCTGAGCACAGCCCCTTCCCAGGAGAGCTGGATCACAGTCCCTGGGTGGGGAGGGCTCTGTATCTCCTTCTCTTGCCCAAGCAGATCCAGATGACCTCCTAGTACCCCTGGGCAAGGCCTCAACTGGCTGACCCCCCAGGGCATAGTCAGCATAGTCCCATTCTTGCCCCCACCCAGAAGGGCTTGGTATATTGACTCCATGGCCCAAGTCACGGGGGCATTGTGGTGCGATGGAAAACATTCCCTGAGGGCCTCCTTGGCAGGACAATGGGGGTGAGGGAGGCTTGGTCTAATTGTCTCTCCATTTCTCCCCCCATATCAGGCCCTCACCCCCAGCGTGTGAGATTCCACCTATTAGCATGTCAATATGTTATGAGTGGCTGAAAGGGGGTTTTAAAACATCAGAAAAAGTCCCAAATATGCCAGCAGCAGAAGTCATGCCCAGAAGTGCCAGGAAAGGAGCCACCTCTCAAAGCCCCACAGCCACCCTATGGTGCCCCCTCCCATTTCTCTGCTCCCCCAGAGCCTCAGGGTGAACTGAAATCCAAATAGCAGTCGGGGAAAATGGGAATCACGGGAACATGTGCAGGCTAACAGCCAGGAGAGAAAAGAGGTGCCCCAGCCCCTCTGAAGCTGTTCCCACTAACCTGTCTCAAGACCAGCCTCATCTGACCACTGATACATTCATAGCATTTATTGAGAGCTGACTGGGCGCCCAGGGTTGGGGAGGGAGGGCAGGTTATCCCGGGGCCACCTCCTTCCTCACAGGGCTCTTTGGGTCGTGTTTCCTGGCGCTGCTCCCTCATTCAAGGCCCAGGCTGGGGGAGGGGTGCAGGGGAGGGTCCTTGCCTGATGCATCTTCCCTGAAATCCAGCCTTCAAGGGGTCCCCAGGCTTGGGGAAGACGGCATCTCGGGCGTCCTCCCCGCACCTGCCCTCTAGGCAGAATTGGAGGGGTAGCAGGAAGAGGGCGAAGGTCCCGACGACTTCCTGGCACCTTTGGAACCTGAGTTTCAAAAGCGGAAGGGGGAGGAGAAAAACAATAATAGGCGATGATTCATGTGGCCAAAGTACCAGTTCAACCTACAGGGCTGTCAGGGCTCTGGCGCCACCCAGAGGCTGGTTGTGGAACAGCACCCAAATCACATTACTGGACCAAGTCAAGCCCAGATGAGACCCAGAAACAGCGCAAAAACCCCCGGCTCCGTCCTGTGGTGCTGCCCCCTCGTGGCCGTAGGGCCTGGGGACCCCGTATTTGTGATACCTAGAGTGTTACCAGGGAGTCCGGCGTCCCGCAGCCCTTTTGCGCCAGGGATGTCTCCCTCACCCTTCACTCCATACCCTGGGAGGTGAGTGTTCCTGCTTCCTCAGAATTAAGGGGGAAAAGGAAGATTCTGAGACCATCATCTCATGTGTCCCCTCAGCTTCCTGCGCCTCCAAGTTGGACCTCACTGAACCGCACAGGGATACTATCTTCTCCTGGAGGCAAGCGTGCTCTTTCAAAATGTTCGCTTTGCAGCTGCGGGGACAGGCTGGGATCCTCCTTCCCGCTCAACATGCTCACGGAGCTCAGTCTGATGGGAGGCAGTCCCCACCCACAGTCCCCACATAGCGACACTGCCCATCAGAACCCCTTCCCGTGCCCTGGCCAGTGTGGCTCAGTTGGTTGGAGGGTCCTCACATACACCAAAGGGTGGTGGGTTCCATTCCTGGCTGGGGGTCCAGCCACATTGTGGGTTTCACCCCCCAGTCGGGGTGTGTGCGTGAGGCAACCAGTCGATGTTTCTCTCTCACATTGATGTTTCTTTTTGTCTCTCTCACTCTGCCTTCCTCTCTCTAAAATCAATAATTTAAAAAAAGAAACCCCTGTGTTGGCTGACTACCCCCAAAAAGTCGCTGAAATGGATCTGTCCTTAAAACCCCACTGGAGCTGAGGTCCTCTGCATCTCTTCTGATAACTGCTGTCATTGAAGCCCAAGCTACTCAAAGCCTGCATGGTCTGTGGCCTGGCAGCATGGCCGCCTCCTGGGGAGCTGCTTAGAAATGCAGCTGCTCAGGCCTCACCCAAACAAACTTGTGAAGTGAGACCCACATTAGATGAGCAAGATCAGAGTGGGGGGCCATGCAGGTGAGGAGACTGGGCTTGGACCTCGGGGGGGCTCCAGGGCAGCTCGCGTCTAAGCTACAGTCCCCGGTGCTCTACGGGGCTGCCCCCCACATAGCAAACTCCCCTCCAGCCTGACCTTGCCCTGGGCCCTGGGCTATTCCCTCTGGCCTGCCTCAGACACCTCTGCCTGGAGAACCAGCCGCTTTCACCACTCTCAAATCCACCCCTAGGTCCACCCGCTTAGCCACGCTCTTAACACGCACACCTGGTCTTGCCACTTCTGTGGGTCCCTGCTGCCCAAGTCCAAGCTCTTTAATGTGACCCACAAGGCCCTACAGGCCCTTCGGCTTGTCCCCAAGTCTCTGACACACACACACCCCCCCCACACACACACAGTCACACACTCCCCATCCCTAAGTTCCTGAACAAGCCCCAATGCCTGGCCACACTTCCAGCTCTCCCCCAAACTGAATCAGGCTTCCTGAGGTCCCTTCCTCCAGGAAGCCCTCCTGAGTCCCCTTATCTGGATCAGGTACTTCTCTAGACTCCCCCATTCAGCACCTATCACCCTGTGTTTTAACTGCTGCTCTTCCATCTATCTTGTTCACCACTAGCCCAGCCCAGCACTTGGCATAGAACAGGCACACAAACTATTAGCAAATGAGTAAGAAATAAGGAAGCTAGGGTTCAGAGAGTCTGAGCAACTTCTCTCAGAGCACACAGCTCCTCAGAGCCACCCACTGTCAAGCCCTTGCTGTGCCCATCCCCAGATCCCATTGCTTGCTAATCCCCATGGCTTCCATGGCAGGTCGCCTGTGCCTGGGAAAGGATGGCATTTTCCCCAAGGGCCCAGAGAGGGAGAGTCCCTTTCCCAAGACTGCAGAGCAAAGTCAAGCCCCAGCTGACCCACCTGGGCAACACTTCTAGAATACTAAGGTTCCTATGCAGATTCTCTACCCCAACCCTATGAGGTGGGTACTGGGGTTAATCCCACTTAACAAAGGCATCCCCCCCTTCACAGTGGACTTCCCCCAGCCACCTGCACTGGCTCCTCCTCCTCTACGGTGACTGGAGTCCTGTGTCCTCGCCTTGTCAGACCGAGCCAACTTCTTGCCTGCAGAGTTGCGGGTGGTGTAGCTGTAGACAGAGGTGTAGCCTTGGCCGGTGAGCGGGCAGAAGCGGCGGGTGTGGGCTCGATCTCTAGTGGCACCGCACTGGGGGCACACGTAGTCTCGAAGGATGGGGCACAGCACCCGGCCCGCCTCGTCCTTGAGCACGTGGGACTGGTAGATGGCCCGGGACTCGCCGTTGTGTTTGCAGAAAGAGCACAAGCGTTCTGGAGCTGGTGAGGGTTCCGGGCTGGACCTCGGATCCCCTGGTCCTGGCACTGGTTCTGGCTGGGGGTCCAGCCTGGTCTCAGGCTCTTCTTCCCCACGCAGAGCCCCCACCAGACGTGCCAAACCCAGGTAATCTGTCCACAGGTCGAAGGTCCCCATGGCTGGGCAATATGTGCCAGGCGTTGGGGCAGAGAGAGGAGAAACCCTGCCTGCCCCAAGCTCGTCCTTCTCCACTTCCTCCCTGCCCCTCCCTTCCCCTCTCTGGAGCCTAGGAGTCTGGGCTGTCAGTTCCCTCCTTATACCTCCAAGGGATTGTGAAGGGGGAGGAATAGCCTGTGGGAGACTTCTTATTGTCACAGGGGGGCTAGCTGCTGCTCCCTGTAAATGCACCTGCCAAGGAGATGTTTGGTCTCTGAGTGGGGCAAGGGGGATACAGGACACAGTCTGCAAGGGGCACCTGCAATTTAGAGCCACATCCCCCACCCAGAGGGTGTTTGGAGGGCTACCCCCAACCTCTCCTTTGAGGAGGCCTGCCACCCTGCCCCACAGGGTTTGGGGTGGGTGGGTGGGTAGTGTTGGAAGCCCCGCCCTCAAGACAAGCATTGACTTAACCTGTAACTTAGTAATTGCTTTCTTCCTTCCCTGGGGGGGGGGGAGGGGGGGGGCGGGTGCCCCTGGGCCTTTGGGGAATGAGGGTGGGGGGAGACTGGATGGGGGACACCTGCAGATTCTCCAGATGTCCCTGGAAGGAGGATGGTATCTGGCCCTCAGCCCCCAGCTCTGGTCTGCCTTGAGGTGTTTTCACACCTATTGTCCCCCACTTAATGGATGAACAAACTGAGGTATGAAGCCACCTGCCCCTAAGGCTATTCACAAAGACTAACACAAAAGTCTGCCTTCCCCCATCTACTTATTGGAGCCCCCAAGGCTAGGTGCTGGCCAGGCAGCCTGTTCTGTCCCTGGGGTGGTGAGGGGGTGAAATGGGGAGGCTGGGGAGAGCAGAGGCCAGGCTGGGCTAATGGGAGGACCCCCGGCACTCACCAGAGTCTTGATCTTCCCTCCCTCAAGTGAGAGCTCAGTCAGCCTCAGGAGGATGGAGTGTGCCCAGGAGTGGGGCACAGACATGCAGGGGGAGTGATCAGCAGCACCAAGGTGCTAGGTGGGCGATGGAGGGTGTGGGCAAGGAGGGTGAGAAAGCTGAGCCCAGGATTTGGACACAGAGAAGAGGACCCATTCACTTATTCTTTCAAGAAGCGTTTGTGGAGCCTCAGGGAGCAGAGCTCACCACCCGCTTCCAGAAGGATTTTTAGCTGTCCAGCCCCTCCAACCCTCCAGGATTTCCTCCCCAAATCCAGCTCGTGTCCATTAGGACCCCAGACCCCAGCCCTCCCAAGTGGTGAGAGGCTGGGGTCAGGGCAAGGTACAGGCTGAGCAATTTGGGGGGAACCCATGGTGGGTCTTGTCCCCCAGCCCACTCCCCTCAGGCTGTGTGTGGCCCAGCCACAGTGACATTCATCCCTCGGTGGGTCTGGCCTCCTCCTCACAACCCACCGACAACAATGAATGTTAATTGTGACTTTCTCTGTGGCTTAAAGGAGGGGATGTGATCAGGTAGGACCCAGCCCCCCAGATCTGGAAGGTGGGGGTCACGATGGCTGGATGGCACTTCCAGGCCTCGGGGTCCACTCAACGGTCGATGGTTTGCCTGAGCTGCCCAAACTCACCGACAGGTTGAATGTTCCCCCAAGCCCTTGGCAACTTCTTGGTGGTGGTGGTGGTAGTGGGGTGTCCCAGAGTTAGAGGGTGGGGTGCAAGGAACCAGAGAGGTGAGGGAGGGCGGGACCTATTGACTCATTAAGTAAGCAAACAGTAGGTGCCAACTGTCTGTTCCATGACCTGGAAAAGCATGACATTAATGTAACTAGTTGTAACAGTAGATGTTTATGTAGTTTTGCTACACGGATGTAGCAGTACTAGGTGCTGGGCTCCTTGCTCCATGCATGTACTCACATCATCCTCAAAAGGGCGCTAGGAAGGTGCAGATGTGGCCCATTTGTCAGTGTGGAAGACTGAGGTCAGGGGGCACTACTCCTAGTGGCCCCAAGATGTGTCTGGCTGCCTTGCATGGGAAGGGGGGAAGGAGCATCATTCAACAGAGAGATAAACAAGTCATTTTAATACAATGTATACCTTCCACAAGCCTCACTGTGTTCCTGAGCACAATTGTTTATGAATCACAACAACCCCTGGGGGTCATCATCCTTCACTTTGCAAATGCAGGGCCCACAATGGGGTGGCTGCCAGGCCCACCCTTTGGCCCACTTGCCCACTGGACAGGGGAGAAGCAGAGGATGTCAGGGGACGCCTGGTGCCCTTCTGCAAGGTCTCAAGGCATCTGAACTCAGGCCCTTGGTGATGTAACCGTGCAAGGTCGCTCACCCTCAAACCTCAAAATACACTGCGGGCAAACAGCTACTTGGACTCCAACTGCAGCAAGATGCTGCCCCCTCCTCATTTCCTCCCGGTAGAAAGGGCTTCCAGTCCTTCCCTCCAGGGGCTGCGCACAGTTGGGTGCCCATCCCCTCGGGTGCCCCCAAGTGTAGTCTTTAGGGAGCTGGCCGCCACCTGGGTCCACAGACTGTGAGGACGCCCTGGAGAGGTTTCTTCAAATTTTCTGTCCCCTCCCATTCCACTCAGGGGAAGGTGGCGCCCCAAGGAACCCCTTGACATACCCTAAGCAGGTCCAGGGACCCCGAATATGCCAAATTTGAATAAACCCTGAAATGTCCCTGATGTAGTTGACCTGAGCCAGCACAGCCCCTCAAACCCCTCCCTCGAGACCCCACCCAGATCCTTCCCCAGGAGACCCGCCCTCTTAAGGTCCCACATATTGCCAGTCCCTAGGTCCCTCTTTCTAAAGCCCGCCCATATAGATTCCCATGGAGACCCCCCTAAACTCAACCCCATAAAACCTGCCCCCTAAGCAGGTCCTCAAAGAGCCCAGCTCCCCTAAAGGCCTCTTCTCAGGCCCCGCCCTTTGAGCCTAACCCTTGTGGCACCCCACATTTTGTCGGCCCCGGGAGGGCGGGGGGGGGGGGGGGGGGCCAAGGTCACAGAGGCCCGCCCCTAGGACCATCCTCTGGAACCCTCCTGCCTAGACGCCCATGGACTGTGACCCTAGGAATCGCCAAGGCCGCCCCCTTGGAGCCCAACCCCCTTAAGTTCCGCCCCAACAGGACCTGCCCCCAAACTGGAGCCCCTCGGAGCCCGCCCCCCCCCCCCCCCCCCGCAAGACTCGCCCATGAAATTTCCCCAACGCATGAAGCCCTTTTTCCTAAGCCGGGCCTGTCGTCCAGGCCGGGGTCCAGTCAAGTTCGCACCCCTGTCGGGAGCGCTAGGTGGGGGGCCTCCCAGGGGCCCATCCGCCCAGCCATCAGGGCCCCATTCAGGGGTGGGTGGGCGGCGGCCCGGGCTCCTCCCCTTTTCTCCTGCCTTGGGGATGGTAGTCCTAACGAGGGAATGCCTAGAACTCTGGGGGGAGAGGGGGAATGGAGGGGGGTTGGGAGGGCAGGTAGTATTAATAATAATAATTGTTTACATACATCACCCTATTATTAGGATACTCATTTTACCGATGAGGAAGGTGATGCTCTGAGAGTCTGGTAACAACTGTTGAGGTTCCTCAAAAGCTTTGTTCTTGGTGACCATAAAGCTAGAATGCGAGGTCATAAGACCACACACAGAGGTCTGACCACACTGAGGGTCCCCCTGAGACACCCTGTGCCTTCTCTCCCCTGGCTTCCCTGAAGGCACTGGTCTTTTATTTTTTAAGTAAAATTGTTGGTTTTTAAATTGATTTGAGCGAGAGCAAGAGCAACATCGATTTATTGCTCCACTTATGCATTCACTGGTAGCTTCTTGTATGTGCCCCGATGGGAGATGGGACCCACAGCCTTGGCTTATCGGAAGGACGCTTAGGGGCACTCACTGATCTTGACCTACCAAAGAGGGAGGTCCCTGCAAGGGGTTTCCCCCAAATCGGCTGGGACAGGCTGGTCCCGGCCATCAGGAAGGCGGGGCTGGGTGGGTGGGCGTGGCTCCGGGCCGAGGGGCGGGGCGGGAGGAGCTCAGCCGCGCCCCGTCCTGTGGGGAGGAGTTATCTGGGGCCTGCCCCGGTCGGTCTCCCTTTGTCTGCGGTGGTCTGCGAAGCTTCCCGCCCTCGCCCTCCGTGCCCGTCTGGGTCTGCCCGTCTGGGTCCGCCTGTGCCCCTGGCCGGCCTGTATCTGACCGGGTCTCCCGCTCTGCGAGCGCTCCTGTTCCTGGCCGCCTGGGTCCGCCTGTGGTTGTCTGGCCCTTTACACCTGATCTGTGTGTCCGCCTGCCCCCCTCAACATCTGCGTCTCACTGTCTGGACTTGGACCTTGGGGGTGGGGGCCGACTGTCCCTCTGCCGAGTGTCCTGAGACCTTTTGGAGGGCTCACCGGGCCTCCATCTGACTTTGAAGCCCAGCAGGGTGGGTGGAGCTGCCTCCTCCCACTCCCAACCATAGGCCCTGGTGCAAGGCAGGGGTGCCCTTCAGGGCCATTTTGACCCTCATTCCTCTTCTTGCTGGGACCCCCAGCCCTGCCACACCTGGCGGGGGGCTGGGAATGAGTGGGGTGAGGGGAGCCTTCCAGAAGCCACACTGGCCCAAGGCCTGCCCCCACCCCCACTCTGAGCTCTGGGAAGGCAGGGCAGCTGGTGCAGGTCTGGGGGTCAGGGTCTGAGGTGAGAGGGTGATGGATGGAGGCAGCTCTGCCATCAAGTTGGAGAAGGGGGAGTGTCTCTGTATGTATGTCGTGCATATGTGTCCCTGTGTGTGTCCCAGTGTGCGTATGTCCTTGTGTGTGTGCATGGACCTGTGGGGAACATGGGGGAGGAGGTAGTCAGGGCCTGACAGACAAAGAGCCCCTTATGAGGGTACGGTGACAGCACACATGGGGGTTCCCAAGTGGGGTCCGGCTGATGGCCCAGACTGTCTAGACGGCGGGCAGGGGGCTCCTCTTTTCCCTCGTAGCTGCATGGTCTCTCAGGTTCCCACTCCGCCATCGCCAGGCTAGCTCCTGGCTTCCTCTGGCTGCTCAGGCCTTTCCATGCGGGGTCCTCAGACAAAGGGCTCGTCTGTCTCACCCAGGCCTGGGGTGGCCAGAGGGCCAGGAGCCCAACTTCTTTCCCAAACCCCCCAGGGCTGGGGTAAGCAAGAAGCCTCTTCTCCAGGGTTAGGGCCTGGGGCTGGTTGATGGGAAATTTAGGCGCTTCTGTGACTCGGGGTGTGGGGCAACCCTGTGTCTAGGGCAGATGGGTTCAATCTGAAAACACAGGCAGCAGCTGCCTATGGGCCTGTTACTGGGGAGCTGCCCTGGTTTTGGGGTCCAAGCTATTCAGGTGGGCAATTTTGGATGTCTATGGGTGTCGGTAAATCCAGGTGTGTGTGTGTGTGTGTGATAATGAGCAGCTGTCTCTTGTGCCTGTTGTGTGTATATCAGGCCTGTGCTGGTGTCCTGTGGGCTTATTTGTGTATGGATGTCTGTGTGACTGAGTGCGTGTCAGGCTAATTGTGGGTAATTGCAGGTCGATGTGTGAGCCAGTGTACATGGGTGTCTGGCATATGTTAGTGTCACTGAGGGTGACTGTAGTTTGTGTGTCATCCAACTGTTGGGGCCCCTACCTCTCTTACTGAAATGTCAGCTCTAAGAGGCAGGGATTTTGATCTCTTGTACGCCAGCACTAGAATGGTGCCTGGTACATAACAGATGCTCAATAAACAGGCATTGGAATTATGGCCATCCAGGTGACTGGATTTCTGAGTGTCCCTGTGCCATTTTCCCTGTAGATCTGTGTGTGTCATGGTGCATATGTTACTGTCTCTGTGTGTATTATTGCAGGTGTCCAGGTGTATGACCAAGTGTTAGGGTAGGTGACTATGGGTGTAGGTATTATTGGAAGGTTCATATCTGTTTGTGGGTGACGGTGTCATAATGGGTGTCTAGGAGGATCGTTTTACCATGGGCAACCATGTATCAGCATGTGTTGCTGTGTTATATGTGTGTCTGTCTAGATTAATATAACCTGATATCAGCATCTGTACAGGCCTAGTATCATCTGTGTGTGTGTGTGTGTGTGTGTGTGTGTGTGTGTGTGTGTGTCAGGTTGCCTGGATGACTGGGTGGCTGTGGGTGTGTCTTTGCTTGGGCAGGCACATGCATGTCCCTGTCTATGTGTCTGTCTGTACTTCTGTCAGGGTGTTTAACATATCTGCGGTTGATCTGAGGATGGGGATGCTGTATGTCTGCACATCCTGGGTGACAGCGGTGGATGCCCATCCCAGTGTCTGTGTGTGTGGTAGAGAATTGTGTTATATGCAAGGCCGTGTCTATGCCACGGCCACCGTCAGGGGTGGCTGCATTTTCCTATGTGGCAGTGTTTTCACAGGATGTCCCATCGCTGGGTGATGTGTGCGCCCATGTGGCAGTGTGACTGTGGGTGATGTGTGTGTGCATGTGGACATCGGCGTTCCTGCAGGTGATGTGAGTAATGAGGATGCTGTATGTCTGTGTGGAGTGTGTGAATTTGGGATTCTTCATCAGTGATGTGGGACTATAACTGTGGCCCTGTAAATGCATCTGTGGGCTGTCCAGGGGTGTGGGGGTACTTCACAGCTCCCATCAGCCCATAAGAGAGAGGTCTTCCCATCCTCCACCCCCAGCATGCCTTCTAGGGCCGTTCCCTGGGAAAGGGTCCCTGTCGCTTTAAAAGGACTCCCCGGCAGGGGATTCGGGGCCATTTTTCCTTTTTAGGGCCAGTTTTGGAGGGCGTGTTCCTGTTAGCCAACCTTGGCCCCAGTAAACACCCTGCAGCCACCGCCGGTACTGACAGACTGGCGGGGAGCAGGAGGCCGCCGCAGCCCCGCCGTGGTCGCAGCCAGGCCCGAGCAGGGCCCCCGCGGGGGTCGGTCTCCGCAGGGTCCGCGAAGGCCCGCGCGCCCATGAACTTGGCCCGGGCGCCCTCCCGAGCCAACGCGCGCGCTGGGACGGAGCCTCTACCAGCCCCGCATTGGCGAGATCCCCACGCGCTCCGCGGCCCCAAGAACAAAGCTCGCCCCCGCCCTGTCTCCGGGCCTCCGGGCGGTCAGGTGTCAGGCGGCCCGAGGTCCCTACGCCCCTCATCGTGCGTCCCCGCCCCTCGGGGGCACCTCGCCGGCCCTCCCCCCACCGCGGGCGACCCCGGCGCGGGGACCTGAGGGCCTCTCCCCCTGGGGGGTCCAGTCCTCTCCGAGCCCCCGCTAGGGGAAGGCAAGAAGGGATGCCGCTGGGGCCTCCCCGCCCCCCTTCCCCAGCCGCCGCAACAATGGAGGGCCGGGCCGCAGAGGCCGGGACCCCCGCCCCGGGCCGGCAGCAGGTGCGCGAGGGGGCTGCGACCCGGTCCCACCTCCTCCCCGCCCCGCCGCGCCCCGAACCCGCCGGCAGCCCCCGGCCCGCCCGGCGCCCGCGCTCACCTCGCTTTGGGCCGCCGCCGCGTGTCCCCTCTTGTTTCCAAAACCCGCCCGGAAAAGCCCCCCCAGCCAAGACTCCGGCACGGGAAATTGCCTGTCGGCGGCTCCGGGGCTGGGCGGGGGCTTCCCAGGCCGCGGGCAGGAGGAGGCGTTCGCGGGGCTCCGGCGCCGGCTCGAACCCGCGGCCACCGCCTCCCGCCGGCCCGCCCGCCAGTCTGTCTCGGTGACGTGCCCGCGCTCCCCGCCGCCGCCGCCCCCGCCCTCCTCCCTGCACCGCGTCGGGCGGTGGGTCCTCCAGCCGCGGCCGTGTGCGCTCCGAGTCTTCCCGCCAGGCGCACCGGGACGCACGCGGGGATGCCCACGGGGCGCCAGGACGCAGCTCCTGGGGCCCGCGCAGGGGACACGGGGGCGCAACGGGCACAGGCAAGGACCGGGACGCACACGGGCCTCTAAAGCGAATGGGGAGCACAGGCGCACAAAGGCACGCAGACCTCAAACACACGGAAGGGCGTGCAAGGGGCTATGAGACGCACACTCACGGGAGGGCGTGGCGGGACATGCAGGGGCACTGAGGCACTGATTACACGGGAATGTCCATAAAACCAAGCCACACACGTCAGGGCAAACATACACGTGCAAGATACAGACACTACATCCAAGGGGCAGGAGGAAGGACCTCAGAACTGAAATATACAGAGAGGGATCCAGGGGCATGTGCAGAAAACACTGATGCACACATACACAGACTCTCAGGAATGGTCACAGACACGGAGAAGCCCACACAGCACACACGAGATACATAGACACAGAGGGATATACATTGAATCCACATACCTCCCCACCCACCAGGTGCACAGTTGTGGGAACACTTGGACATACCATACCCCAACATACATAGACACAACATATGGATATACTAGTATACTAGTACACAGAACAGGAACACACCCATAGAGACATGCCAGGCACAGTCTCAGGGGCACACGCAGACCCACAAAGTTCACAGACACACAAACATATGCACAACCACTCATGCATGTACAAGGGCAGAAGCACCTAGAATTCAAAGAAACAATACCCACACCCACAAAACCTCAGGTCCACAGGGGTCTTTACTAATACACACAAAAGGACGCTTGGGGACATGTACCTGGGACCATCTCGAGTAGGCACGCACTGGCCCGGTGCCCAGGCCACACACAGGAGGCGCACTAGAAACTTGTCCATGACTTGGGGCTCTCCTGATCAATCAGAGACGCTTATTCTGAGCCCACATTCACATACACAAGGTGCACAGAAACACAGCAGGGTTCCTACACTGGCAGACATTCCATTCAGGGAACCACATACAGATTCTCCCACATACTTCCCAACACACACACACACACACACAGGCCCTGCCTACACCACAGGCTGGTGAAGGGAGGTCACCTCAGAGCAGACGTGGTGCCAGGCAGGGCCTCCCATTGGCTAGGGCTGAGTTACAGGATTTCTCATTCTGTTCATCTCCTTCCCCCAGCTGGGGGGGGTGGGGGGGTGGGGGGGGATCAAAGAAGCTTTTGAGCCCCTCCCCCTAAACCCAGCTTTAAACCTTTGTGGGGAACCTGGTCATGCTCCACCTGGCTGTGTCTCTTCCGTTCTACCCCCTCACCACAGTCCTGCCTCAGTTTCTCCTTGAAAAGCTCCTGTTCCCTTTGCACTGCCCTCTTCCTTCAGGTCTCAGCCCAGAAAGCCAGCCCAGAAAGCCTAGGAGAATGATGGGTCCAGGACCCCAGACTAGGGTCCAGCCTTACTCTGTACCTAACACCCCCCCCCCCCACACACACACACACAAAAATGGAGTATAATTTCCGGAGGGGGGGGGGTTAGCTGCAAGGAAGAGGATGGGGGTAAATAGTAATTGAGCCTCCTTGGGTGGGGTCAGGGTTATTGTTCCTCCTGTGCCTTCTCCCTTCAAACTGAAAAGGGAAAGGGGGTTGCTCTGGAATATACTACGTTCATTAATTGCCAGTCACCTTGGACTCTTGCCCAGCAGCCCAACGAAGTGGACAAGTGAGGCCCAGAGGGTGGCACACCCTTGCCCAAGGTGGCACAGCCTGAAAGCTGGGATTCTGTGCGAGGCCTTTCCGCATCTTCGCTCTTGGATGGGCCTGAAACAAACAAACAAACAAACAAACAAACAAACAAACAAAAAAAAACACTCCGCCTTCTCTTCTGTCCACTGAGCTTCCCACGGCTACCAGCAGGGGGCAGCAAACGCCAGAGTCTTTCCTCCCCGCTGTGGGGGCGGACAGCCGCGCCGCTCCCTCTTCCTCCCGCGACCCCCACCACAGCACAGAAGCTGAGGACGCTGCCTGGACCCCCAGGCTGGAATGTCCACTGCCCAAATGCACCGGCCCAGAAGGAAGGAGCTCTTCTTAAATAGAATCCCCTAGAACGAATGTCCCCACAAACGCCTCACTCGCACGTGGTGCCTCGTACCGTCTAGCTCAGCTCCTTATTGCTGCAACACATCGGCTGGGTGGGCAGCCTCTGCATTCCTGAACCGGGTCAGACTAGGAGAGAGGATTTCTGGAGCCCCGCCCGGTGGTCAGTGCTCCAAACCCGAGTCCTCGGACTATCCCCTCTGAGCCTAGCCCGGGATGGGAGGGCTTCCCCCGCTGCCCCAGCAGCCTGGTTCCTTTGGGCGTGGGAACTGCTCGCCCCAGCCCCCAGCTCCTGGGGCCCCTGCCAGTGCTGACTCATAGGGGACCCACCGCTGTGACTCAGCAGCGGCTCTTCCTGAACCTCTCCCCTAGCGAGCTCCAGCCCTGTGTCACCTCCAGTCCCCTCTGGGGTCCCCTTAGGGACCCAGATGGTGGCCCTGCGGCTGTGTGAACCAAAGGGCCTTCTCAGTTCTGTCAACCAGAGCCTCAGCCTCCGAAGCCCCCAAGAAGGTGACCACGGGTGGGTGTGCTGGGTCATGGGGCCTGTGCGTGTCCAGATGTGTTTGTAGTTTGCACACTCAGAGAAACCTCCGGAAGGCAGGGCCCAGGCTGTGAGGGCCACCTTCCTCCGCAGCCCACTGGAGTCTGGGCAGGGACACTTCAGGGCAATGTGAGGCTCTGGGCTGAAAGCTCATTCCTTCAACCACAAACCAGCTTCTCCAGCCATCTTCCTGGCTCCGGAAATGGCAGCTCCAGCCTTCCAGCTGCCGGAGCCAAAACCTTTTTTCTTTTTCTTTTTCTTTTTTAATGTTTATTTATTTATTTATTTTATTGCTTAAAGTATTACAAAAAGTACTACATATGACTCCTTTTTTTAAAACAAAAAAAGGTTTTTATTGATTTTTACAGAAAGAGGAAGGGAGAGGGAGGGAGGGAGGGATAGATAGAAACATCAATCAGCTGCCTCCTGCACCCCCTCAACTGGGGATCAAGACCACAACCCCAACCCGGGCAGGTGCCCTGACCCGGAATCGAACCAGCGACCTCTTGGTGCATGGGACAATGCTCAACCACTGAGCCACACGTGCCAGGCCCCAAACCTTTCTTAACAAATGCAGTCCATGAACACATTCAGTTACTGTCTCTCCGAAGGAATCTAAACGGTGCCCTCTCTGGGCCTCCACCTGCTTCAAGCCCCCCTCAGCTTTCCTGGACCAGTGCAGCCATCACCTCCATGCCCCTCCGGCCTCAGCCTCACACAGCCTGCTCCCCACAGCGAATGCGAGGCGTCCTTCCTCTGCTCAGAACCTTCCCCGGCTCCAACGCCACTCACTCCCCACAACCCTGCCCTCTACCCCATTCGCCCCCTGCCCTCACCTCCTCTCTCACTCACTCTGTTCCAACCACATGGACTTGCTCGTTGTCCCTCAGACACACCAGGCGTTCGCAGCCTAACCTCAGCGCGTTTGCACTAGCTGTTCTCTCGACCAGGGGCTCTCTTCCCTCAGATACCCACATGGCTGCCTCCCTCACTTCCTTCACCTCCTCAGTGAGGCCCACCCCCCATTTAAAGGTGTACCTTCTTGCTTTATTTTTTTCCATTGCCCTATTGCCTTTGACCACACTATATATATTTGATTGCATACCCTGTTTCTTGTCTGTCTCCTCTACTGACATGTCAATTCCTCCAGAGCAGGAAGCTTTTTTGTTTTTATAAAAATATATTTTTATTGCTTTCAGAGAGGAAGGGAACGGGAGAGATAGAAACATTAATGATGAGAGTCTTTGATCGGCTGCCTCCTGCACACACCCCACCAGGGACCTAGCCTGCAACCCAGGCATGTGCCCCTGACTGGAATCAAACCTGGGACTCCTTAGTCCACAGGCCGACACTCTATTCACCGAGCCAAACTGGCCAGGGCAAGAGCAGGAGGCTTTGTCCTGATCACTATTATTCACCGAGAACAGAGCCTCGGACAATATTCGTGGCATCAACCTATTGATAAGGACCATGTTCCTGGCACGCTGGGGAACAAAATAGGCGTGGCACCTGCCCGTCACTGTCTGGTGGGGGCGGTCACATAGCTTGTTGAGTGCCATGAAGAGCATTCAGGGCTGAGAGCCAGGAGCAGGAGAGTGTACAGGGAGGCATGGGGAACAGTCTGGGGGATGGGGTGTAATCAGAGAAGGCTTCTGGAGGAGGTGAGGGTCTTGGCAGCCACTGAGGGCGAGTGGGGAGACCAGTGTGGCTGTCCAGAAGAGAAGGGCAGGAACTTGGGGGACAGGTCGGAATGAACAGCTTCAGGAAGCAGGGCTTACAGGTCTCAGAGACGGACCACATGTGGGGGCTGAGGAACCAAGGAGGAAAGGTGGGGATCTCCTGGGGCAGGCTGACTTGGAGGCACCTGTGGGACATCAGGGAGTAGATGTCTGGAGAGGGGGGTCATCAGAATGCGGTGGCCAAAGCTGCGCCCCCAGAGAATAGCATTTGAGAGGCATTTGATTAAAAAAAAAAGACTGAGGAGGGGGAGGGCCATCAGGAGGACACAGTGTCCCAAGGCCGAGGAGGAAGCGGGCAGAGGCGACAGATGCTACCACGAAGGCTGAAGGCAGCAATGATTGAGAAAGGGGGTCTGACTTGACAGCTTGGTGTCAGTGGTGGGAGCACGTGACCACCTGAGGAGAACATGGGAAAGAAGGGAACAGAGGCAGCGAGCCCAGCACAGCACTCTCCAGAAGAAGTTACCATGAACCAGAAATGCCAGCCGCCATGTGTGTCATTTAAAAATCTTTTAGTAGGGAGGGTAGGGGTAAGGGGGAGAGATCAACCAAAGTTCTTATATGCATGCATATAAGCATAACCAATGGATACAGACACCAGGGGGGTGAGGGCATGAGCGGGGGGAGGGGGGGGTGGTGGGAGCAATGGGGGAATAAGGACACATATGTAATACCTTAATCAAGAAAGAAAAATAAAAACCACACATAAAAAAAAAAAGTAGCTCTAACCGGTTTGGCTCAGGGATAGAGCGTCGGCCTGCGGACTGAAGGGTCCCGGGTTCGATTCCAGTCAGGGGCATGTACCTTGGTTGTGGGCACACCCCCAGTGGGGGGTGTGCTGGAGGCAGCTGATTGATGTTTCTCTCTCATTGATGTTTCTAGCTCTCTGTCCCTCTCCCTCTGTCCTCTCTGTGGAAATCAGTGAAATGTATTTTAAAAGAAGAAGAAGAAGAAGGAGGAGGAGGAGGAGGAGGAGGAGGAGGAGGAGGAGGAGGAGGAGGAGGGGGAGGAGGAGGAGGAGGGAGGAGGAGGAGGAGGAGGAGGAGGAGGAGGAGGAGGAGGAGGAGGAGAAGAAGTAGTAAAAAGAGCCCTGGCTGGTGTGACTCAGTGGTTGAGTGCCATCCCATGCACCAAGAGGTCACTAGTTGGATTCCCAGTCAGGGCACATGCCCGGGTTTGGGGCTTAATCCCCAGTAGGGTGTGTGCAGGAGGCAACTGATCCATGTTTCTTTCTCATCATGCTTCTCTCTCTCTCCCCCTTCCTCTCTCTCTAAAATCAATAAAATCATTTTTAAAAAAATTTTAGTAGCCACATTTTTAAAAATATACTTTATTGATTTTTTTATAGAGAGGAAGGGAGATAGAGAGTTGAAAACACCGATGAGAGAGGAACATCGATCAGCTACCTCCTGCACACCCCCAGCTGGGGATATGCCCCCAACCAAGGTACATGCCCTTGACCGGAATCGAACCTGGGACCCTTCAGTCTGCAGGCTGACGCTCTATCCACTGAGCCAAACCAGTCAGGGAAGTAGCCACATTTTAAAAAATAAAAGATAGATGGCCCTGGGCAGGTAGCTCAATTGGTTAGAGCTGTGGTCGGCAAACTGCGGCTCGCGAGCCACATGTGGCTCCTTGGCCCCTTGAGTGTGACTCTTCCTAAGCCTTAGGAGTACCCTAATTAAGTTAATAACAATGTACCTACCTATATAGTGTAAGTTTAAAAAATTTGGCTCTCAAAAGAAATTTCAGTTGTTGTACTGTTGATATTTGGCTCTGTTGACTAATGAGTTTGCCGATCACTGAGTTAGAGTGCCATCCTGATGTGCCCGGTTGTGGGTTCTAGGGTTCTATCTCCAGTCAGGGCACATAAAAGAAGCAACCAATGAATGCATAAATAAGTGGAACAATAAATCAATGTTTCTCTCTCTCTCTCTCTCTCTCTCTCTCTCTCTCTCTCTCAAATCAATAATAATAAATTTTTAGCCCTAGCTGGTTTGGCTCCGTAGATAGAGCGTCGGCTTGTGGACTGAAGGGTCCCAGGTTTGATTCCAGTCAAGGGCACATGCCCGGGTTGCGGGCTCGATCCCCAGTGGGGGGCGTGCAGGGGGCAGCCGATCAATGATTCTCTCTCATCATTGATATTTCTAGTTCTCTCTCCCTCTTCCTTCCTCTCTGAAATCAATAAAAATATATTAAAAAATAAATAAATTTTTTAAAGTAAAAAGTAGAGCCCTTGCTGGTTTGGCTTAGTGGATAGAGCATTGGCCTGCGGACTAAGGGTCCCGAATTTGATTCCAGTCAGGGGCACATGCCCGGGTTGTGGGCTGGAGCCCCAGTAGGGGGCGTGCAGGAGGGAGCCAAACAATGATTGTCTCTCATCATTGATATTTCTCTCTCTCCCTCTCCCTTCCTCTCTAAAATCAAAAATATATTTTTTAAAAAAGTGAAAAGTAGGAAACACAATTTAGGTTGCTACCCAAATCTGTTTCCCAAGCTCCAGCTCCTTTTGGCTCAAATAAATGCATTTTTTTTAAAAAAGTAGAAAGTAAGAGATAAAACAAATATTAATATTTACCCCCGCTGTATCCAAAATAGCCTCCTTTCAACATGCAATCAAGATAAAAAGTATCAATGAGAGATTTCACATTCTTTTAAAAGAATGTATACTTACAACATCTCTCCATTTGGACAAGCCACATTTTGAGTGCTCGGTAGCCATGTGACAAGCTCACTGGAATGTGCAGGTCTAGACAGAACCTGATTTTGCTTTTGTATGACTCACCTCATCCACCTCTCCCTAATCCCAGCCCTCGCAGATCCTGCCTTTATTTAAAAACTTGCTATTTTGTTCAATCTGGATTTTTCGCAATAATTTTGATTTTCGAAGACATTGCACTCAAATAATATGGAATCTCCCCTACAGAAACTTGTACATGAATGTTCACAGCAGCATTATTCATATTAGCCCCAAAGAGGAAACAACCCAAATGTCTATTAACTAATGAATGGATTTTTTAAAATGTGGGGTGTATATTATTTGGCAATAAAAAGGAATGAAATAATGAGACATGCCACCACGTGAATGAACCTTGAAAAGTAAATGAAGCTAGTCATAAGGCACATTGTACGAGTCTATTCATACATAGAGACAAAGTAGATTAGGGGTGCCAGGGGTTGGGGGACAATGGGGAATATGGGGAGTGATCATCAGTGGATACCAGGGGTTTTTTTGGGGGAGTGATGAAAACGCTTTTAAAATTGATTGTGGAGCCCTGGCCGGTTTGGCTCAGTGGATAGAGCATCAGCCTGTGGACTGAAGGGTGCCATGTTCAATTCCGGTCAAGGGCACATGCCTGGGTTGCGATCTCCAGTAGGGGGCATGCAGGAGGCAACCGATTGATGATTCTCTTTCATCATTTTTTTTTTTATATATATTTTATTGATTTTCCACAGAGAGGAAGGGAGAGGGATAGAGAGCCAGAAACATCAATGAGAGAGAAACATCAATCAGCTGCCTCCTGCACACTCCCCTACTGGGGATGTGCCCGCAACCAAGGCACATGCCCCTGGCAGAATCGAACCCGGGACCCCTGAGTCCGCAGGCCGACGCTCTATCCACTGAGCCAAACCGGCCAGGGCTCTCTTTCATTATTGATGTATCTATCTCTCTCCCTCTCCCTTCCTCTCTGTAATCAATAAAATATATATATTCAAAAAATTGATTGTGGGGATGGTTGCACAACTCTGAATATACTAAAAACATTGAATTCTGTATTTTAAGGCAGGGTTATGTGTCCGCAACGAGCAGAAACCGAAGTAACCGCTTGAGCTAAAGCTGACCCTGAATTCTATATTTTAAATAGGTCAGTTATATGGTATGTAAATTTTATCTCAATAAAGCTGTTATAAAATACTTAATCTTGCCGAAACCGGTTTGGCTCAGTGGATAGAGCGTCGGCCTGCGGAATGAAAGGTCCCAGGTTCGATTCCGGCCAAGGGCATGTACCTGGGTTGCGGGCACATCCCCAGTGGGAGATGTGCAGGAGGCGGCTGATCGATGTTTCTCTCTCATCGATGTTTCTAACTCTCTATCTCTCTCCTTCCTCTCTGTAAAAAATCAATAAAATATATTTATAAAAAAATTCAATAAAATATATATAAAAAAATACTTAATCTTGATTACCATTTTGGTGCACACGTAAGTTTTGCGGCCCAGCCTTACTCTCCTCACCCTAGTGCCCCCGCTGTCCCTTCCACACCAAGCTCAAGAGGGACAGCTAAGCCCTGGCCTGTGTGACTCAATGGTTGGAGCGTTGCTCCTCCAACCCAAGGGTCTCGGGATTGATTCAGGTCAAGAGCACTACCTGGGTTGCACCACTCGTGGGGGAGGCAACCAATTGTTGTGGCTCTCTCACATCAATGTTTCTCTCTTTCTCTCTCTCTCTCTCTCTCTCTCTCTCTCTCTCTCTCTCTCCCCCTCCCTTCCATTCTGTCTAAAATCAATGGAAAAAATATCCTCCAGTGAGGATTAACAAAACAAGAAAAAAGAGAGGGACAGCTAAGATGGGGAGAAGGCCCGGGGGTAGGGAGGAGGGGTGGGAGAGCCAGGGCGAGGTGGCCAGTTGAGCGCCCGCCCCATTCCGGCTGTTTTTCTTGTCAGCAGTCGCTGCAGGAGTGGCAGGCTCCCGATGGGAAGAATGGTGGCTCTTTCTGGGGCGTCTCCAAAGCCTGATTCCAGGGGCCCCCGCCTGCCTGGCTTCCCGGGCTGCCTGACTCAATTTGCCCACTGCATGCGTGTGACCCTCTGCTGGCCCCCAGTGACTCAGGCTGCCTGGAAGCCCCCTCCCTGGGGACGCTGGGCTGCTCATGGTGACTTTTCACAGACATGGCGGAAGCAGCCCAGCGGGACCTTGGACCCACAGCCCACCCCGCAGAGGGCCTAAGGGCTGGGATGGGCAGTTCAGAACTCTTCTCAAAGGACCTTTGTGGGAATGGCTGGGGGGGCTGCGGGGGGACCCCGCCCTGCGTGACTCAGGCCTCATTGCTGGGTGGTGACTCACGGCCAGGCCTCCCTCCCCCTCCCGCCGCTGGCCCGCAGCAGGTGCTGCCAGCCCCAGCTTCAGGACAAGGCCTCCGAAGCCACGTGCATGCCACCCTTCCATGGTCCTATGACCCGCACCCATTTCCAGGGGCGACCGCCCTGCCCTGACCTCCCTGCTCTATCGGGTTCGGACCCAGGATAAAACTTCCCACACGCCCCCCCTCCTGGGTGGGGGGCAGAGCCCTGGTACTCAGCTGTGACAGGCATTGCTTGCCTCACTATTGATTCACAGAATCTTCAAACCACCTGAGAGGCAGGGCGCCGTTGCTGCCTCCTTCCAGCAGACAGGGAAACTGACGCTCGGCGAGGCTATGGCGTTTGCCCAAAGACACTGGAGATCAAACTCAGAGTCGGGGCAAGCCGGAGTTGCTGCCGGCGTGTACCTGGATCGCAATGCCAACTGCCCGGCGCCCCAGGGAAGGGCTCCTGCAGCACGCAATGCGCGCCCATCTCCCTGAGGAGCAGCCAGCGCCCTGAGGCTAAGTCTCAGAACCAGAGGGAGAGGCCGGGCGGGGGTTCAAACGGAGCCCCGGAACCCGGGAGCCCGGGCTTTGTCCGCCGCTTCCCCACGGGCCTCGGACGCCCACTTGGGAGCTGGAGCGCCCCCGCCACCGGGCCCCTCCAGCCGCCGGGCCGGCTGGATTCGGGACGCCCGCCAGGCTGCCGGGCGCGGCGCCCACCCGCATCACGCAGCTGTGAGTCACCGCGCGCCGGCCCCGCCCCCCACGCCAACAAACAGCGCGTTGCCTGGCAACCGCCGCCGGGCAGGGCCTCTCGGCGGCGCGAAAGGACCCAGGTTCGAGCCTCCAGCCGGATGGGAGCGGCAAGAGGCTCCGGGACCCGGTGGCCTTCCCCAGAGTAGGGACTCAGACCAGGCCTGTCGCTTCGGTGGGCACAGAGATGTGGGTGAAGGAGACAGCTGTGGTGCAATGGGGAGAACACAGGGTGTCGCTGCCAAGCCAGATCCCCTCCTGGCTGTCCGGAGGCCAGTGCAGGGCGAGGGGACAGCAGCATAGGGTCCTCGCTGTGGGGTGAGAGGAACCCTGAGAAGCTGGGCCAACTCTCCTAGATGGATGTGGGGGAGCGACCTGCTGAGGTGAGGCGATCGCAGGGCTGTGATGGGGATTTTGGCTTTTCACCTTCAGAGGAGCCAACAAGGAGCGCCTTCTGTCCCAGCCTGTTCTACACGTGTGTGCCTATGGGTGTTCACGTTCACACCAGCCCCCTGACCTCTCACGGCTATTATTCCTGGTTTACAGATGGAGAAACTGCGTAAGGGAGAGGCAAACTCCTTTGCCAAAGGAGGCGGAGCACCACACTTAAAACCAGGCAGGGCGACGGGCTGGGCTCCCATACCCGTCGGGCCATGTGCAGGTCCCACCTTGGTGATGGTCATATCCATGGGCGTGCCCCGTGTGGGTCTGAATGGCAAGTCCATGAGGGAGCTTGGCGGGGACACATAAGGGTACGGACCCAGTGGGCGCCTTTGGCTGTTGACAAAGGAGCTGAAGCCTGTGGCCTCCAGAGGCGATGACAGGCCCTTTGTCAGACTGTAAGGCCCCCCTTCACTCTAGGCCCCCCAGGACCCCATAATAGTCACCTCCGAGCTGCCCACCCACAGGACCCCTCTTAAGGGGGCCACAGGAGGGCCAGCCCAGGGCCTCAGACCCTGTGGGGTGGGGAAAAGAGTGGGGACCAGCACCAGGGCTTGGTGGGCCAGAAGATGTGTCCCCCTTCACCTGGCCTCCATCAAGGAAGTTGCCAGAATTGTGTCATTTAAGAAATGTTCAGCTCTAGCCGGCTCGGCTCAGTGGATAGAGCATCAGCCTGCGGACGGAAGGGTCTCAGGTTTGATTGTGGACAAGGGCACGTACCTCGGTGCCTGCGAGAGGCAACTAATGCCTCACATCGGTGTTTCTCTCGTTTCTACCCCTCCCTTCCACTTTCTAAAAGTCAATGGAAAAAATATCCTCAGGTGAGGATTAACCAAAAAAAGAAATGTTCATTTTATTCAAATGATTGAGTAATTCACCCAAATGGCTGAATAGGGAGACAGAAGAGGACAGACTCTCCTGGAGAGTCTAAAATCAGAGGGTCATGGTGGCAGGTAAGGAAGGCTTCCTGGAGGAGGTGGTGCCCCAGGACCTGAAGGATGCTCAGGTGGGTGTGAAAGACAGGTTGGAGAGGAAGTAGAGACCTGACAAGAAGGGCCTTGTGGCCCACGAGGTGGCTTTCCACAGTGCACGCTGGATGGAGGATGTGCATGAATGTAACTGGCTTGCTCTGGAGAATGGGGGGAAGGGGTAAAGCCTGAAGGAAGGGGACCAGGGAGCTGTCTGTCCGAGCATTTCCAGGCCGGAGCTGATGGTGGGGTAGGGATATGGTTGCCAGATTTAGCAAATAAAAATACAGGGCACCCAGTGAAATTTGATTTTCGGATATAGAACAAGTGAAAAAATATTTAGTGTAAGTATGTCCCAAATACTGCATGGATACTTGTACTAAAAATAATTCGTTATCTGAAAATCAAATTTAACTGGGTGCCTGTATTTTACCTGGCAATAGTACTCGGGGGCCTCAGGAGCTCCCCAGGGATGGGGGGGAATGATAGCTCAATAGGATTGAGCAAAAGCACCTGGAAGGGGATACTGCCATCCCCATTTTACAGATGGGTGAGCCCAGGCCCGGAGAGGTGAGGTTTTTTTTTGGGGGGGGGTTGTCTGTACAGTGAGTGAGTGACCCCTGACTGGCCCCCGGCATGTGGGTCAGCGCGGTGTGGGGACTGGGGCTGGGGCGCTCTGAGTCCCTAGGTTTCTGGTGGCCCACGTTCGGGGCCTGGCTTCCCAATGCAGTCGGCTCCCCAGGCCCCTCGCGCAGCCTGGGATCTGTGCCACCCCTGGCGCCCCTCCTCCAGGGGCAGTGGGAGGAACGGGAGGCGGCCCCCAGGGGGGCTCCGGTCCCCGGCGGCGGCTCGGCCTCGCCCTCCTCTGGGCCGAAGTCTCCGCCGAAGGCGCCCGCCGCTGGGGGAGGGGGGGTGAGGGTTATTTTTACCTCCCTCCTGGCGGCCCGGGCGACAGGAAGTGAGCGCGCGGCCCGCCAGATGTGGGAGTCAGGCAGCTGGGAGCAGCCACAGCTGGACTGGAGGCCGGCGGTGGGCTGGGGGAGGCGGCGCGCGCGCAGGGCGGATCCCCGGCCTCGGGTCCCCGCTTTGTTCCCTGCCGCCCCAGCCTCCCCTCCCAGGCCCCCCTCCCCCCATCTCCCGCCCATCTAGTCGGCGGCCTCGCTGTCCCCCAGCTGTGCCCCAGTCCCCTGGGTGCTCGCGGGCCCTCAGGTCTCGGGCGGGCAGCCGGACCCTGCTCCTTGCCCTGGGGCACCCCTGGGTCCTAGCCGAGTGAGACGGCCCCTCGCCGCCCCGCCTGCCACCGCCATTGTTTACCCGTCGGCTGCCTCCTAGGAAACTTAACCCGCCCGCGGTAATTTTATTTGGGAACTTCGGCCAGTTGCCATAGTAACCCCAGTGACGTCAGAGGGGCTGAGGCCCGAAATCCCCGGGCAAAAGGGGGATGGGATGAGGGGAGAGACCCCAGGAGGGATCCTCCTTCACCCAGAGCCTGCCGAGCCCTAGTCGGAGGGGAGAGGGCCACTAGATGTGACATCTCGTGGGTGCCCCCATTCTGGCCTGCTGCCAAGTTGGGGTGGCCGGCGAGGCCCTGATGTCATCTGTGTTGGGTGGGTGGTGAGTCAGTCCCCCCCACCCCTGGTTGGCTGGGCCAGGCCTGGGGGCTATTCCTGTCTGAGTCACCCTTCTGTGCCCCTGGGCAACACCCTGACTCTGCCCTGCGGATTTCAGGCACCTGGCTGGGGTCCCCCCAGATCCCTGCGCCTCTGGCCCTCTGTAGATGGGTAGACAGGGCTTTCCTGATGCGCCGCACCAGTCTGCATTGTCCAATGGAAGGCTTAGTGGCAGTGAACTGAGGCTACCACATCAGGTCCTACTCCGGATGTGGGGAGTGGCTGGTGACCTAGTGAGGGGGCAGGTGGTGGGATCCCTGCTCAGTCCATAACACAGCCTGTCGCCAGGGCTACGGAGCGGGAGCACGGGCCCTGACTGGCAAGGAGGAGCACAGCCGCCAGCCAGGATGGGCTGGGAGGAGCCACTCTAACCACAGTGACGTGAGACTTCCTCGGCAGGGCCTGTTTGATGTCTCTGTGTGCGGCGTTGCCATGGGGCCCGGCAGGCGGCCCTGTGTGTGTGAGCCAGGGTGACTTACCAGGCGACTGGGTCTGTCGGGGTCTCTTGACCCAGCCCGCTTGCCCCCATTCCAGGCCTGCTGGGCTGCAAGTATCCGGTATAGCTATGCTCCTATCCCACTCCAGGCCCTGAGCGAGAAAGCACATAGCGCATCTCACCTCAGAGCCTAGGAACAACTACAAACTACATTTTCAGGCCCGGTTTACAGATAAAAAAACTGAGGTTCAGAGAGGCATGATCACTGGCCAAACATATTCAGCTAGAAAGTCAGGGAGCATGCCCTAGCCAGGTTGGCTCAGTGGATAGAGCGTTGGCCTGTGGACCGAAGGGTCCTGGGTTCAATTCTGGTTCAAGGGCACATGCCTGGCTTGTGGGCTCCATCCCCAGTAGGGGACATGCAGGAGGCAGCCGATCAATGATTCTCTGTCATCACTGATGTTTCTATCTCTCTCTCCCCCTCTCCCTTCCTCTCTGAAATCAATAAAAATATTTTTCTAAAAGTCAGAGAGCAAAGATGTGAAACTCAGTTCTTCCACTCCACTCCCCTCCCCCTCCCATCACTCTGGTCTCCTGGCTGTGGCTGTTTCTCAAATACTCCAGGTGAGTTCCTGCCTCAGGGCCTTTGCACTGGCCAGTCCCTTCATCAGGAGCTTTTCCTCCAGATGTCTGCATGGCTCCTCCTCCACCTCCTACAAGTCTTTGTTCAAATGTCACCTCCTCCTCAGGGTGCCTTTCCTGACCTAGCCTCTATCCCCTCACACCTCATTTCCTTTGCCCCCGCCCCTTCTCCCCCTAGCACATACTACCCAGCATACTACAGTTGGCCCTTGAACAACATGGGGGGTGGGGTTCTAACTCTCCATGCAGTAGAAAAATCCACTCCCCCAAAACTTAACTACTGATAGGCTACTGTTACTCAGAAGCCTTATCAATAATATAAATGTCAGTGAACACCTACTTTGTATATTATATATAATATACTGTATTCTTACAATAAAGTAAGCTAGAGAAAAAATGTTGAAAAATCATAAGGAGCCGAAACCAGTTTGGCTCAGTGGATGGAGTGTCGGCCTGCGGACTGAAGAGTCCTGGGTTCGATTCCAGTCAGGGGCATGTACCTGGGCTGCAGGCACTTCCCTGGTGGGGGATGTGCAGGAGGCAGCTGATTGATGTTTCTCTCTCATCGATGTTTCTAACTCTCTCTCTCCCTTCCTCTCAGTAAAAAATCAATAAAATATATTTTTAAAAATCATAAGGAAAAGAAAATACACTTACAGTATTTGTTGAAAAAATCCAAATATAAGTGGACCTGCACAGTTCATACCCATGTTGTTCAAGGGTCGATTACATATATATCTTCATACCTATCTATCAATTGTGTGTGTTTCCCCATAGATGACAGCCGCAGGAGGGAAGGGACATTTTTTCTGGCTTGTTCTCTGCTGTGTCCCCAGTGCCCAGAACAACACCTGGCATAGCAGGCACTCAATGAATGTTTGAAGAATGAGCAAGTGTGTGTGTGTGTGCGCGCGCTCTGTGCCACTTGACCTGGCCTTACCCTGGCTCTGTCACCCCACTCCTCCCTGTCATGCATGACAAAGGATCACTTGGCAGTTTGGAGAGCTCCCATCCCTGGTGGCTGCTGTCCTGGGTAAACTGGCTTGCTCAGGGCCAGGGCATCGGTGCACAGGTAGAGGGACCAAAAGAAAGGGCTGGGCCACCAGGAAGACCTTCCAAGCTTGGGCAGAGGAATGCTAAATGAGCTGGGGTGGGCTGAGCCTTGTGCAGGGGTACAGCTTATATGGGGTCAGGGGTCTTGGCCCAGGTATTCCAGGAGGCCAGAATGGAGGAGGCGTTTCCCCTAATGTGAGCCTGATTAAGCTAATGATGGGAGGGGTTCTGGGTGGGAGGCTTTGTCTGGAGGTGTGAAGGGAGCATTCTGGACGTGTGGAGATTGTGCCCCCTCTTCATTCGGTCACTTTCTACTTCTGGAATGATGAGCCTCTGTGTGTGTGTGTCCACAGGGAGACACCAGACCCTGGGAACTTCATTGTCCTGTTTGCAGATGCTCAGGAGGCCATGTGGCAAGTGCCCCACCCCACTTCTGGGCCCCGCCCTGAGTCGGGGAATTCTATGCCACCCCAAATCTTCCCCCAAGGGCCCCACAGGCAGGCGGCTCTGCCCCCTCCTGCCCCAACCTGCCAGATCCTGCAGCCTGGGCCAGCCTTCCCCTTGGGCCCCACAGAGAAGAAAGACCCAGGAGCCCCCAAGGGCCGGGCCCCGTGGGATGGGAGCTAGGTGTGGCTTCCGCCCCCTCTCCCTAATCCCACCAAGATCCAGGCCAAGCCGCCTGAGCTGCACTGAGGAAGAAGGGGATGCTGGAGAAATTCTGGGGTGCAAGGTGACCTAGAGGCATCCAGCCAGCCCCTTCAGTACCCTGCCTGGGCCTGCTGCTGTCCCCTTCCCACCCAGAATGACTCTAATTACCCAGGAGGTGGGTGGTGAAAAATCTGACCCCAGCCCCAATTATATGACTTTGGAAATGTTGGGGGGAAGGGGAGGAGGGAAAACTGTCCCCCAAATCTATGTCCACACCGGTCTGGGAAGGGTCCTCTGGCTCCAGAACCCTGCCTGGCATCATGGTGGTGATGTGGCGCCCACCAGCCCCTGTCCCATCTTGGAGAGGCAAAGTGGTGGCCGGGCATGCCCAAGGAGGCTGGCTTGGCAGCCGAGGGCACCCCGCCCCGCCTTTACTGCGTTTTGTTCCGGCCCCCGACCTGGGCCCAGGGCCAGGCCCCAAGGCAGGGCCCCATCTTGGGGAACAATGCCCCCGTGTTCCTCCCGGTGGAGGGGAGGTCGGGGGAGGATGAGGTGGGACAGACACGCAAGCAGGAGGGAGAGATCCAGGGAGGGCCTCTCTCCCAGCGGTGCCGCGGGAGCCGGGAGTTTCCCAGAGGCCCGGGGTGGGGGCGGGGATGCCGGGAAGCCGGGGAGGGAAGGGAGGGCTCCTCCACGCAGGGACCACCTGGGACCAGACGACCAGAGTCTTCAACAGCAGCAGGAGGGAGTCGGGGGGGATAAAAGGTGGGACTGCCCGGGGCTGAAGCAAACCCGGTGGGAGTGGAGGACGTGAGGGTTAGCGTTTGGTAGGATCCCGGATCCCCAGCAGCAGGGTGTCCTGGGTCTGGCACCCTGCTCCCTGGCTCCCCCTCCCTCCCCCACCCCACCCTCCGCCGCCAAACCTCCCTTCCTGCGAAAGGGCAGGACTTAGGGCGAGAGGGGCTCGGGACTGCGACGGGGACTGGGGTGTCGGCTCTGCCCCGACCGCCTGGGGCGAGCCCTGGCTGGAAAACGGGCTGTGCCCGGCGTCCGGGACCCCGACGGGGAAGTTGGTCTGGGTTTGGGGCCCAGGCCGAGTCGGGGTCCGGAGGGAGAAAGTTGGAGCTGAGTTGGGGACGAGATCGAGTTGGGGGACCGCAGAGAGAAAGTGGGGGCGGACCGACTCCGGGGGCACATGATGGCGCACCCGCCCCGCCCCGCGCCCGCCCCCTGCCCGGCCCGGGGGAGGAGACGAGGAGGTTTTAAAAGCGATTCGGCCCCGCGGCTGGTCGGCCAGTGAGTGGGAAGGAGCTCGGCTGGCGACCACCCCCGCCCCGGCCGGACCCGTGCGCCCGCCGCCCCGGCCCCCGCCGCCCGCGGGCCTGGCCGGGCGGCTGCCGGGCGCCGCGCGCGCTCCCCTCCCCCGCGGTGAGTCGGGAGGGACCCTGGAAGGAGGTGGTGGCGCCGCGGCGGCGGCCGCAACTTTTCCGCGCTGGACTCGTGGGCGGAGTGGGGGTGCGCCCGGCAGGTCCCCGGCCCTTGGCGAGCAGGAGGGCGTCCCGCCGCCGGAGGTTGTGGGGACAGCAGCGACGGTGCCTCTGGCGTCCGCGGCGGAGTCCTGGGGCGCCCCCTACGGAGCGGGAGAAGGGCGGCCCTGCCTTAATCCTCTCCCCCGGGCCCGTTGGGGGCCCCCGCCACCTCCCCCGCCCCAGGAGACCCATGAGAGCTGGTGGGGAGGGCGGGTCCCCAGGCGACTGGGGCAGGTCTAGGTGGGCAGAGGGCTGGCAACGGGGTGGGAGGACGTGCCGGGCTTGGGTGGGGGCAGGGAGAGGGATCCGCCGCCGCCTGGAGGTGTTCCTGGACTTGGTGGGCATGGAGCTGGAGGAGTGGGTGGAGGTCGGCTGGAGTTATGTGGATGGGATCGCGTGACAGCGGTTCAGGTTCTTGACATGTCAGTCGGTGAATGCGGGAAAGACCTTCCATCGCGGAGGCCTTATAGGGGCCAGCAGCGCAGCGGGGCTTGGGGGACCCCTCTCCCCTTCTCCTGGCTCCTCCTCGCTCCTCCTGGCCCAGGAGAGAAGGGCTCCCTCAGGATGGCATAGAAAGGGGTCAGGTTTGGGAGATTTCTGGACAGCTGGCTCTCCAACCCTCTGCATTTTGGGGTCCCTGTACCCTTGCCCTGCAGGAGGAGGGTGAAAGGCCCAGACTGAATCCAGACCCCCCATCCTAGCCCGAGACTGACCTCTAACCCCAGCACAGGACTTGACCGCCACCAAAGCCTACACTGACTTTGCTGTGTGGCCCAGACAAGCCCAGACCCAGTGGCTTCCCGAATGTCTTGGAGGTGTAGCTGGCTCCGTGTCACCTGTCCCCTTTCTGCTCCAGCCCCAATCAGAAGCCCACCCATGACGGGTGGGATATGAGGGTGAGGCTGGGGGGTGTGGGACTCCTGGCATAAGAGCTGTCCTCTGGCAGCCATGCCCATGCCCGCCTGAGCTGGAGGGCAGTACCCGACAGGTGCCCAGGCTTAAAGGCGAGGTGATGTGGGACACACCCAGTCCGCTCGCCCACGCACCGTGCTCGGGCCAGCCCTGTGCATGTGTTCACACGCTGCTGTCCTGGGGCCTGGTGCCAGCTCTGTCTGAGCGCCCAGGGGGGCACCCACTGCCCTCCGCCCTTGCACGGTGTTCTGAGAGCCCCCTCAAGACCCTAACTGGCGGGCCTCGTCCGTGGGCCTAGCGGGGGCCTAACATAGCTGCCAGCCTGGCCTGGAGCTGGCACGCGGAGCACATGCGTGACAGGGTGTGTCCAGGGGTGTCGGGCCTGTCAGTGCTGGCCCAGTCTCCAGGTCTCTGCAGACCCTTGCTGACTGAAAAGAGCCAGCAGGGTGGATGCTCCCAGGGTCCTCCCAGGGACCCCGTACCAACCCTGCCTGTTGCGAGTGGAGGCCAGATGCGTGCAAGCTGCAGCTGTGGGGCAGGCCCCCATCCCAGGGGGTCTCGGGGTAACTGGCCTCGTGGTGCAGTGGGATCACCAGGTCACCATGGGCCAGATGGCGCTTTGATAGGTCTCAACACACTCTTCAGAGTTTGCCCTTCACCTTGGAGGCTGGGTGGGGTAGAATATTCAAGACGAATAATGCTGCCAGGAACCCTGGGCCTTCTTAAGAAAACTCCTTCCTGGCCCTCAGTGTCTGGCCCTTTCCCACGTTGGGTGCACTTTATGGCAGGATCAGGCCAGGCTTTTCCTTAGATCTACAGGGTGACCTTGGACTTGCCTCGGAACCCCCTGGGCCTCAGTTTCTCTATCTGTAAGTGAGGAGCATTGGGAAAATGAGGGGGGAGAAGTGTGAGCCTGTCCCTGTCCAGGTGCCCACTGTCAAATCCCTTTGGGGGCACTCTGGCCACCTTCTCTTCTGTCACCAGGTGTCCTGGCTGGACACGGAGGTGTGTCTGGGGAAGGCTGGTCACCCAGGAAGGACGGACGCAGAGGGCAGCAGGCGTGGGTGTGTGAGAATCCTTGGGCAGACAAGGACGCCGCCATGCTGGGCACGGCTGAGTCATGCTCCAGCGGCGCCTTGCCCCAGGGTGCTGGAGCTGGCGCCACCCTGGGTGTGGTCACCGAGGCTCTGGGCAGAGCAGGCCTGGGTGGTCTGGGATGGGGGGCCTGGGTGTTGAGGGGCCAGGGACTCAACTCTGAGATGCTGAGCCCCTCGGCTTCCTGGCCTCCCCCTGGCCTGGGTCTGGTGTGACAATCCAAGGCTGTGGTCACCCACCCTGAGAATGCCTTGGGGAAGCCAGGGGACCCCAAGTCTTGGGTCTGGCAATTATGGGAGGAGGGCAGGGCGTGGAAGCCAGTGACTGCCCTTCAGGCCAGCAACCCCAAAAAGGCCGACCAAGGCTGGGACATGGACCTATCTGAGGATAAGGCAGAGGTGGACCTGGCATAGGATGCCCTTCAGGGCTTACCACGTGGATGTTAGGGTACCCGCCCCTGGCAATGCCGTGACTGGTCTGGGGGAGATGAAAGTTTAAGGCAGGAGTTGCAGTTTGGTTTGGTGTGGCCGGGCGCAATGGGGGCTGGGATGTGACTTCCATGGTTCCCCTATTTATAACAAGTGATTCAGTCCTCACTTACTCACCCCTTCCTGAGCCCGCCCCCTTCCCCCAGCCCTGGGTGGGCAGCAGGGCCCACCCACTGGACTGTGCCGTGCCTTCCTCCACCCTGGTGCCAGCCTCTGAGGGCTGCCCGTTGTGTTGTGAGTGTTGTTATGGTCTCGGTGTTGGGATGGGGGTAAGGGGCGGGGGGCTGGTGGTCAGGCGGCCCTTGGCTGGGCAGCCCAGGTTGGCGGCTGGCTCTGGGGCCCTAGCCAGAGGGCCTCTGCGGAGAGTCTGGGCCCATTAGGCAAAGCGTTAGTGACAGGCTGGGAGGGCGGGCGGTGGCGGCGGACAGGGCGGGGCCTGCAGCCCTTGGTATTTTCCGATCCCAGCTGCTCTGAGAGAGAGGGTGGAAAGTATTTGGGGACCAGGCTTGGGGGCGGCGGCGGTGGTGGCGCCCCTGGCGGAAGTGGCCCATATTCATTCTTGGAACACAGAGTGGCGGTGGGGGCGACAAGATGCCGGCCTGTGTCTCATGCCTCCACGCCCTGTCTGCAGTGCATTCTCAGGCACACGTGCATCCATCTGTGAGGCCCGGGGCCTTCGCTCCTCCGGCCCGGGGCCCACCCTCCCCTCGTGCCTTCAGCTGCCAGGAGCTCGGCCCTCCCTGGACACCGTCACCCATGAGCCTGAGAGGCCAGCCGTTGGGAGCGGGGGCCCTGGCTCCTGGGCACCTGCCTCGGAGTGTCCCCTTCGTGAGAGACCCAGGCCGTTTGTGGCTGTGAGGATGGGGAGTGGCCTTGGCCCCATCCCGGGGCTCTGTACAGGGGAAACCCCACAGGAAACGGGCCTGGCCAAATGGCCGCCCTTCCCGTTCTCGTCCCTGGGACACGATTGTGCTGTCTCACTTCCGGAGGAGGCCCAGGGAGGCTGGCCGCCCTTCGAGGCCTTCTCTGTTGCCGGTTGGTGCCCCCAGGCCCTGAGGAGACAGGGTTGGACTGAGCCCAATGGGAAAGTGGGTGATTCGTGTATGTGTGTGTGTCTGTGGGGAGACTGGGGGTGTGACAGAGCCTGTCCCCCAGGGGTGGACACCGCCAGATCTGGGTGCGGTGGTCCTGCCCCGTGCGGTGTCCTCATTTCATCTTCCTTCCTGTTTCTGTCTGGTCTGTGATGACAGTGTAGCCCCATCCAAATTACACAGGGCACTCATGGGATCCTTACCACCGCAGTGTCCCTCCTTTGCATATGGGGAGATGAAAAACCAGAGAGGTTGAGTGACCTCCCCAGAGTCACCAGCTAGGAAGCTGCAGAGCCTGGGATCAAATCCCACCAGCCTGGCTCTGTGTTGGAATCTCCTAGCCACGGAGCCCCATTTACTGAACACAGAACTAGTCTTACCCCCACCCCCATCTCAAAGAACCTGGAGCTTGGTTTATTTTGTCATTTTTTTGTTAATCTTCATCCGAGGATATTTTTTCCATTGATTTTCTTTTTCCCTTTTTTTTTTTTTTTTTTTTTAAGAGAGAGTGGGAGAGGGAGAGACAGAGAGAAATATTGATGAGAGAGAAACACATCGATTGGTTGCCTCCTGCACGAACCCAGACCAGGGCCGGGGCCAGGGAGGAGCCTGCAACTGAGGTACATGCCCTTGACCAGAATTGAACTCCGGACCTTTTGGTCCGCAGGCCGACGCTCTTTCCACTGAGCCAAACTGGCTAGGGCTGGAGCTTGGTTTAAATGCTTTGCCGTTGATGTCTTGAAATTCTTAATTTCTGAACGAGGGGCCCTGTGTTTTCATGTTGCGGGTAGCCCCACAAATTCTGTGAGCAGTTCTGATGCCAAACACTTGCTGAAGGGCATACACACTCTTGGTGAAACCTTATTGTGCTACAAGGTAGATAAAAGCCCTTGGCTCCATTGTACAGATGGGGAAAGTGAGGCTTGGTGGGCCTTTGGGAAACAGCTGAGTGGGGCTTTGCACTTCGAGCCTGGGTTTGGTGCTCTGGGATATGCATGCCCAGAATGGATTGCTGGGTGTCTGCTGCTGGCATCCGCTCTGGTGTGGCTCAGGCTAAGGCCTGGCTGCCGAGGAGACGGGACCACGGGGGGAGGCCCTGGTGGTTTCCTCCTACCCTTCATGCTTCTAGGAAGTGGCGCCAGCTGGGGTGAGATCACTTCCTTAACTGCCTGCCCGCCACCCCCTCGGCTTCCTCTCCCCATGGCCCCATTTAGCCTGCCCAGGGCTCAGTGGTGATCATGGGGAGGAGGGGTGGGAATGGGCCAGTGGAGAGGTGGAGACCTGGCTCTGGCAGTCCCTGCAGCCCCTCTGGGCCTGGGACTCTCCTGGCATCTCTTCCTCTCTGAGCCTGGGACAGTGGGCATGGCTGGGTTGGAGGAGTCCAGCCTGGTGGTCCCGCTCTCCATTCAGCTGCTGGTGCACGTGGGAGAGGGTGTCCCTGCAAGGCCCCAGAGGATAGCAGCAGTCAGGACCTGGACGGCAGATGTTCTCAAATCTCATATCTCCTTTGCTCTCTCCTCCAGGTACCAGCTGATGGCCCTGTCCAGTGCCTCCCTACCCCTGTGCCATGGCCGGCTGGGGTTCCTGGGGATGGGATTTGCTGCCTGTCACAAATCACATTGCCAGGGATTTCCAATCGACCCTGAGCCCAATCTCCGGGGCCGTCACCCTCACCAGCATCAGCACTGCCACCACCACCACAACCACCAAGGACGCTGCCAGGGGATGAGGTGGCAGAGAGGCCCTTGCTGCCTGCATCTGGCCTGGGCAGCAGGGCTTAGCTGCTTGTGAGCAGGGTCTGCACCAAGTCATGTTCACAGTGGCTAAGTTCCGCCCCCCGGAGCCCTCATCTCCTCCAGCTCTGCTGCCTCTCCCAGCCTGTTCTGCCGCCTGGCCTCCCTGGGCTCTGCCTCCCGTGCCTACTGAGCTGAAACACAGTTGATTTGTACAGACTGGCTCAGTTCAGCAGGAACAGGAGTCAAGCCCCCTAGGAGCCTGTGGCCCCTGCCTTCCCTGGATGGGCTGATGTCTGGGGGAAGAGAGGAGGACCCAGATCTACAGCTGTGTCTGGGGAGGGACTTGGGGAGGGTTGGGACGGGATGGGGTGGGTGGACTCAGCGCCTGCTCCAGGCCCCCTCCCCCAACTCTGCTCTTGGAGACCCCCACAGTCCTCCCACCAGCTGGGCTGTGTTCCCAAGGAGGACAGTGGGTGGCCCTTCCATGAAAAAGGGAAGCCAGCTGTGTCCCCGCCCGGGTGACCCTCTGGGCCTGGAGCCTTGGCCCCTCCTCTCCCAAGCCTGGTGGGGGCACGGGCTGGGCCACACCTTCCCAGCAGCCAGTTACCCAAGAGGAAACTGCCTTGGGCCCTCAGACCGTTAAATGCCAACTCCAGACTTCCGGAACCAGACTGGCCTGACGTGAACGTGCCTGACCCCTTCCACCTGGGTTCTGCAGCTTCTGTCTTGAGGGAGGCGCCGTGACACCCACGGGCACACAGGGTGGGCATGAGGCCCCTGTGGAGGACCGGAAGGACACGAGCAGGCCTGCTCAGTCCTGGGGTGGCCCCAGAGCATGCAAGAGCAGCGTGAAGCTCCAGGCTGTCAGGCTGGCCCAGGGTGCCCCTTCCCCACCTCTGCCAGGGGCAGACACAGGCTTGGGGCGATCTGTGCTGTGTTGTGTTTAGTGTCCAATTAAATAAAACCTGCCCCGCCTTATTCCTGAAGGCCTGGTGGTTTGTGACTCTTGCCTTTCATCCCTGGAGTTGCGGCGTTTTGGGTGAGGAGGTTGAATCAGCCCCAGTTTAACTGGCCCCCATGCTCCTGGCCTCACAGGGTCCCATCGCCTCTGCACCAGTTCCGAGGAAGGTGGCAATTTAGTTTCCAGGGTGGAGGGTGCCTCGGGATGGGAAGGTGACCTTGAGGGGTGTCCTGGGGATGGGGGAGTGACCAAAGGAAACCCTGGACTAGAGGGGACTGACTTTTGGGGGCCGATGTGTTGACAGGGTAAGCTTTTCTAGAGGGACCTAGATGGGGTCATGATTCCATCCCGGGGCCAAGGGGGGATGGACCCCAACCTCAGGTGGTGGTGGTGCAGGCTGACCCCGAGCGTTCAGAGATAACTGGGACCTGGGGTCTTGAGCAAGTGGCATCTGGGGGGTGACTGAGACATGAGGGAGACCTCAGTCGGGGGTAACAATCGGGGTGCCTGGTATCCAGATGCTGGTGGCGACTTCGGGCTTGAGGTGTGTGCATGAGGAAAGGGGGACACTGGGTGACTTTGAGAACCTCAGTTAAGGGGCGCCCCGGTCTGAGGACAGCAGTTGGAGGCGGCTGGTCCCAGGCCTCCAGGAGGCGCTCCGGCGCCGACCCGGCCGCCCTCACATACCTGCGGGCACCCGCGGGGCGGGGCGGGGGCGGGGCCGCCTCCAATGGGTCCTCGCACAGGGCGGGGTCGCGGGCCAATCACAGCGCCCCCCTGGCGCCGGCCCGCCCCGTCTCCCGGAAGCCTGTCCCGGGCGGCCCGGCTCTGACCGTGACCCACACCGCCCTTCCTTCTCTAAAGGCCGGCGGGCGCCGAGGGGATTCCTGCTCCTGGGGAGCCGCGAGGGCCGGTGAGCGGGGGCCCGCGCGCTGTCCCCGCGCCCCTCTCTGGGGGCTGGAAGGCTCATCCGCGGGGTCGGCGCCCCCAAGGGCCGCGCCCACCGCCTCTTTTTGGCCAGAGCCCCACTCTTTGGGGCCTAAAGGCAGTGTCCCCACCTTTGGGCGGGGGTGCCTTCCTCACCCAGCTGCACCCAGCACCCCCGCCCGCCCCCCCCCCCGCCCCCGCCACTTGAAGACAAGGATCCCGAACAGCAGGCATCTGGAGCCAGGGCGCCCCCTAGTGGCGAGTCCCAGCGGCGCAGCAGCCACGCAGCCCAGCAGGGTCCGAAATCAGACTTTTGTGTCTTCCTGAAATGGATGCCCTTTCCTTAAACTTTGGAGCCCCCGTCTTCTCGCCTGTAAAATGGAAATGTTCCTGCCCACTCCTGTGCCCACAGGCGAGGCTGGAGATTTCCTATGGAGAGAAAGGCGGAGGGCCCTGTTTGGGGGTGGGAGGGCAGGGAAACACACACCTCGGTCTCAAAATAAAGAAGAGAAAGCTGTGTTCAATCTTTAAAAAACAAAAAGGAAAAGGAAAATACAATATACAGTTCAATAAATAGAAAAAAACACAGTTATAAAATCATGTGGTCTTTTGTCCTTAATTACAAGAGGGAAAAGATGGGGGGACAGTAGGGAGGCCAAAAGGACAGCAGCTGGGGCTTAGACACAGAGGGCAGGCTAGATGGTGAGGAAACGGAAAGGGAGGGCAAGGTGAAGGGGCGGAGAGGGAGACAGGAGGAGAGAGGGAGAGGCAGAGCCAGAAGATGCCCAGAGGCCAGCCGCGCTTTCCTTTCCGAATTTGGGGTGGGGAGTCCCTGGCTCCCTGTGCCGTCTCCAGGTCTGGAGGACAGTGTGAGCCTGGCTCAGTTCCTGAGTTGTATGTCCAGTGACTAGCAGGTAAGGGGAGGAGAAGCAATGACCCCTCCTCCCCCTGGTCCATCCTGGGACCCCAGTACCCACAGGAATGGGAGTCCTGGCCGGATGGGGGTTGAGGTATGTGGCCGAGGCCTGAGGCCTCTTTAAATCCTTCAGTGGGGATGAGCCATTGGCCCTGGCTGGATACCCTGGAGGGGGCTCCTGAGGCAGTGAGAGGAGGGTACAGAGATTTAGATGCTTTAACACAAGTCCCCTGGCCACCCAGCGTAGGGTGTGTGTGTGTGTGAGGGGAGTGGGGGGTCTGCTACATTGACTGAGAGCCAGTTTCTGGAAAGTCCTGCCTCCCAGTTCCCTGGAGCCCAAGCCAGGCCTGTGAGTTTGGGGAGGGGGAGCTTGCTATTGCTTTTGGGGTACCCAAGTGGGGCCATACCAGCTCCCCCCTTCTAGGCCCCTGGTGGTGGTATGGCTTCTGATCCTTGTGTCTCGCACACTCGCTCGCATAATCCTAGGCACGCACGTGGCAGGACACCACCCCCAATCCCACGTCCAGCTGGGGGGATGGCAGGCAAGACCACCTGGCTCCAGCGGGGCTCCTTCCCTGACTCAATACTGAGATGCCACTGGACCTCCCGTCCAGGTGCCCGATGCAGTGGGTGGCACAGAAGCAGGAGCCAAGGGCGACCCTGCCCACCACCTGCCGGGCGCCCCTCAGCCGAAACGCTCCCGCACCAACAGCATGAGCTTCTTCTTGCCCTTGTACGTTTGCTTGAGGGTCTCCAAGAACTGGGTGAACTGAAGGTGCCCGTCAGGTGCCAGCAGGAAGGTCTCTCGGGCCTTGCCCAGGAACTCGATGAAGTCACCATAGTGTCGTGGGCTGATGTGCGTGAGGCGGGAGTGGCTGGTGTTGATGTAGGCTGCCACCGCAGCGTCCAGGAGCTGGCAGAGAGGCGCCCGGTCGGTGCCCAGTGGCTTGGCTGCCCGGCGAGCCCCCAGGGGACCCAGGCCGGGCGCTGAGAGGGTCCAGCGGCGGAGGATGTCGGACAGCATCGGGGCGCAGTGGATGCTCCGGATGATGAGCGGGACAATGGCTGAAAGCTCGTGCCGGCCCAGCGAGTGGCTGAGCGAGCAGGCCCAGAGGACGTCATTGACAGCGGGGTGGCTGTCCTGGTTAAAGGCGATGCTGAGCTGTGCCAGGGCCAGCGTGGCCAGCTTGTAGGCCCGCAGAGGCAGGCCGCGGTGCTCCATGTAGCGGGCCACGGTGAAGAGGTGGGCATGGCCCAGGCCGCCGGCTGCTGCGTCCAGCACAATCTGGTAGGCCGCCTCGAAGGCTGCGTGGTTCTTCTCACACAGGGTGAGAGCGGGCAGGGCGCAGTTCTGCGGGTCTTTCATGGCGCACTGCAAGGCCAGGGCGCGGGCGCAGGCCCAGAGCTCCTCCCGCCGGGGTGCATCCAGCTGCAGCCGCAGTAGCGTGGCGTGGGTGGTGCCTGTCACTGCCACGATGGTGGCCGCCTCCACCGGCGTGAATAAGGAGAACCAGTTCTGCATGATGTTCATCAGAGCCTGCGGACCTGGGGAAGGTGAGATGGTGAAACGGGTCAGGGAGAGGGGCCGGAATGCGGATGTGTGTCCACGGGTTACCCCAGTATCTCCAGCCCCAGCAGCAGGGCTGGAGACACATTCCCTAGGTGTTCACCCCTGCTGTAGCCTCCCCCTCCCAAAAGAACAGGGCACAGCAGGCCTCTGGGACTGTGTATGTGGGGGGCTTTGGTGCCAATGGCCCTCTCCAAGCCATTTAGCCAGGCCAGCCTCCGGGCTTCTGTCCAGCACAGTCCCTCTGCCCACATTCCCTCCAGGCTTAGCTCTGAGCGCAGGCTCGATGAAGAGGAAAGTCTCTCCTTCCCTCTTGTGCCCATCTGGTTCCATGAAGAGATGGGTGGCAGATCCCCTTGGGGACTCTCACCAATCTCCGTGGCACAGCTGACCAGCCAGCGCACCATCTCCCTTCGCCGCCAGGTCATGGTGCTCAGGGTCATCCGCATCACCTGCAGGGGTGAAACAGGACAGAAAGAGGTCACCCAAAACTTCAGGCTGGCTGAGGGAGAGAGGTTGGGATCCTTAGGGGCCCAGGAAGACAGAAGTTAGGGGCTGACTCAGTGAGCCATACAGTCTGGGCAAATGGCTTCACCTCTCGGGGTCTCAGTTTACTCATCTGTAAAGTGGGGATAAAAATCTTATCTACTGCATAGGGTTGTGAGAATCGAGATTACGTAGTAATGCTCTTTGCACAGTGCCTGTTGCCTCAAAGTGCTCGGCTAACGTCAGCCGGTACTATTACTGCTATTGTTGTTCTGTGGAGGCCCCCATGCATCCTACTCTGGACAACAAGCCGACCCATTCCTTCTCTCCAGAAAGTTCCATGCTTCATGTCCACTGACTCCCCCCTGTGACTCCCAACAGAGCACCTGCTGCACAGGTCCCACCTTCTTCAGCTCTCACCCCCAATAAGCACCTTCCTTGCTGGCCTCTCCCCTCAGGTCCCATCCCCAGTCCTATCTGGTGGGCTCTGCCTTCTGGAAGCTCCTAAGTAGAGGATCTCCTGTCTAGAGCCCCACCCTTGTCCTGCCCCCTCCACATCCCCCAATGACTCCAGTCCCCTCAGGAAATTGTTTTTGGCTAATTCTGCCCCTGAGGGCCCCTTGCTTTCTAGTTCTACTTGGGAAGATCCCACCCCACCCTGCAAGCCTGCCCCAGGCTGTACCTTATTCCCTTATTTACTAGGTCACCTTCTGAGGCCCTGCCTACCTCCAGATCACACAGCCTGCAGCTGGCTCCTCACCTACAGGCTACACCCAAGCATGCTGGCCTCTGCCTCACCAGAGCCAGATGGCCTGGCCCCTGGGGGTGGCCAGACACTCGGCCACAGGCCCCATGACTGTCAACCACAGACCTCACCCCAGAGGCAGCTCCTCAGCTTCGAGACCTTCCTCCAAACCCAGACCCTCAATGGTGATTTCTAGGCTGGGTTCCCCTGAAGCCCCACCTCTTATTGGCAGGCTTTGCTGCCCCCCCCCCCGTACTCCCCCCCCTCAGCCCCACCCACCCATGGTCCTTAACCTTAAGCACACCAGCCCCAGGCCTCATTTCCAAGGCCAGAACCCCTAGGCTCTGCTCCCTCTGTGGCCCACTTTCACAAGCAGGTTCCAGGACCCTCCTCCTCCTCCTCAGCCACACCCTAGGAGGTAGATTCTCACCTTCAGACTCAGCCACTGAGTCTAATTCATAGGCCCACCCCACTGATAACCTCATTCTCCCCCTCCCAGAACTTACAGACTCTGCCTTCCTGTGGCCACTCACATCCTGGCCCCACCCACAGGCCGCACCCCCGTCCCCATCCTCCCGGGGGCCCTCACCTGCAGGCCCAGCTCCAGTGCAATGCCCAGCAGGGTGGTGTCCGGTGGTGTGCTGGCCGGGGTGGCGGTCTTGCAGGCATCCTGTGCCAGCTTGAAGAGCAAGGCTGGAGAGTGGATATTCTGCTGGATGGAGCCCAATACTGTGTGCAGCCATTTGGGGTCTCCTGGGGGAGGGGGAGGGACATTGGCACCACGGTTACACCAGGCAGTTCATGCAGGTTCCCTCCACACAGGTGCACAGGTGTGAGCATGGAGGGTCACGAACCTGGCAACCATCTGTGAAGACCCCGACCACTCTTTGCACTCCCACCCCCCTTCTCTCCTCTGCCTTCCTCTGCTTCCAGTGGGAAGAAGCCACTTAGGAACCTGCTAGATGCCTAATGGTCAAGAGGATGGATTCTGGAATCAGAATGCCAGGGTTCAAATCCCTGCCTTGCTGTGTGACCCTGAGCAAGTCACTTCACCTCTCTGTGCCTTGGCTGCCCCATCTGTGCAATGAGTAATACTAACGGAATAGTAGCCGCCTCAGAGGGCCATACCAGTAAAGGCTTTAGCATGGCAAAGGCTACACGAATATTAATTTGTTTGTTTGTTTTAATCCTCACCCGACAATATTTTTCCATTGATTTTTTAGAGACAGTGGAAGGCAGAGAGAAATATGGATGTGCTTTATCCTCCTTGGCGCACTTGTTACCTCCCCACTTACTGCATAACTATCCTCTTCGCCTTGTTTATTGTCTGTCTGCCCCACTAGAATGTAACACCACAGGGCGCGGGATTTGGGACAGTTTTGTTTACTACGGCATCCTTAGCCCCTGCCCCAGTCTTGGTCCATCTAAAAAGTGCTCCAGGAAAACTAGTGGAATTTGATAAAAGGACAAGAAAGAGGGAGGAAGGAACAAAGGAGAGGAGGAAGGAGAGGCAGAGGACAGGGGGACGAGGGCAGCGTCCTCCTCACCCTTGGCCGCAGTCAGCATGGTGGAGGCCAGCTCGCACTGGCGCGTCTCCAGGTGGCCCAGGATGAACCAGCGGGGGAAGCGGTTACTCATGACGGAGTCCAGTGGGTTGGGGTGAGGATCGCCCGCCGGAAGTGCTGTCTCCAGTACAGGCAGCCTGGGATGAAGCAAGAAGCCAGCCCATGGTGAGGCAAGGCTTGAGTCTCCATCCTTCCTAGGACAGAGGCCTCCTGCCGCAGCTGGAGCCTCCCCTCTGAGGCAGCAAAGCCCCGAGCAGCCAGGAAGATGGGTGTGTGCGCACGATGTTCACTGCGGTGTTGTTATGTCCATCATTCGGGGTTTGGTTAAATAAACAATGCTTTATTCACGTACCAAGGCCCTGTGGCTGATAAAGAGATGATGGGATTGTGTCTCCTGAAAGGATTTTACAAAATTCTGCTTCTGTGATCGGCTGGTACACGTGTGAAATGATAAAAGATAATTCATTGTAATGTTGTTTTTCTCAACAGCATAAATGTCTATCCAGATTGGTTCTCTTAGGAAGCATCCTCACAGTGGTTCATGTGCGATGTGGTACAACCAAGCCTCTAAGATACAATGCGCAGTGAAAACAAGGGGCAAAGCTTAGGCACAGAACGTGTCGTGTCATCGACGTAAAAGGAGGACCAACTTCCAATTTCCAATTACAGATTTGCAGAAATCTCAACTCTTGATAAGACAGTGGGAACAGCCCTGGCTGGTTTGGCTCAGTGGATAGAGCGTTGGGCTGCAGACTGAAGGGTCCCGGATTCGATTCCGGTCAAGGGCATGTGCCCAGGTTGCAGGCTTGATCCCCAATAGGATGCATGCAGAAGGCAGCCGAAATGATTCTCTCTCATCATTGATGTTTCTATCTCTCTCCCTCTCCCTTCCACTCTGAAATCAATAAAAAAAAAAAAGTGGGAACACTGCTTAGGTATGTTGGGAAAAACCGGCCTAGAAAAGTACTCTTTTTTTAAAAAAAAAAAAATGTATTTCACTGAGTTTCCACAGAGCGGAAAGGAGAGGGATAGAGAGCTAGAAACATCAATGAGAGAGAAACATACATCAGCCGCCTCCTGCACACCCCCCACTAGGGACGTGCCCGCAACCAAGGCACATGCCCTTGACCGGAATCGAACCTGGGACCCTTCAGTTTGCAGGTCAACACTCTATCCCAGTGGTTCTCAACCTTCTTGCCCTTTAAATACAGTTTCTCATGTTGTGACCCAACCATAAAATTATTTTTGTTGCTACTTCATAACTGTCATGTTGCTACTGTTATGAATCGTAATGTAAATATCTGATATGCAGGATGGTCTTAGGCGACCCCTGTGAAAGGGTTGTTTGACCACCAAAGGGGTCGCAACCCACAGGTTGAGAACCGCTCTTATCCACTGAGCCAAACCAGCCAGGGCAGTACTCTGACTTTTGTTGCCAAGGGAATGTCTCTCAAATTCAAAATAATATTATACACTTGTTTAATAGGAAGCCTGGAATGCCAGCGCGAGGTCAGACTGAAATATCAAGGCTGTGAATGTGGGAGGAGGATGGGGCTGTGAGCGTGCCTCCCATCCCCCAATCCTTCTGGCCCACTGGGCAGTCCCCAGCCATTTGCCTGTCCTTACCTCATGGCTCGAAGCGCCAGGCGGTAGGCCAGGTCGGGGTCGTGGGGTAGCAGGGCGGTGAACAGGTAGCACGCACAGGTGTGCATGGGCACGCTCTCCCGGAACAGCACTTCTCCGAAGCCGCTGAAGGGACCCCCTGCAGGGGCAGCCTGAGCTCAGCCCCCAGGTGGGCTCACTTCTGACCTTCTGCCCCTCCCCAGGCCTCTCCAGACCCCGGGCTGAGGAGGGGATGGGCAGACCCCAGGACAGAGCGGCAGGGACTAGGGGCGGGAGAGGTCCTGGGCATGGGGACACCGGGCTGAGACAGAAAAGCCCTGGGAAATTCGAAAGGAGGAAACCCTGGGCAGCCCTGGGAGGGCAGGTCTCAGATGCAGGGTGAGGCCTCATAAGGCAGGACCGTGGGCAGAGCCAGTGCAGTCAGCTGGGCATCAGCGACTTGGCTCACTGACTCCCAGGTGGGCAGGGAGCCGGACCGCACCACTCGCAGCAGTTACTGGCTGCCAGAACGCGCCAGGGATCTCATCCTTTAGGAAATGCTGAGGGAAAGGACCAAAAGACCGAACACCGGGCGCGGGGCGGGCCTCACCGTCCAGGAGCAGCCCCGCCTGCTTGCGCAGCACCTGCACCAGCCGCTCGTCCAGCTCCACCTCCTCCAGCAGTGCCAACAGCTGCTCCTCGTTGCGCACCACCTTGTCCTGGGCGTACAGCCCCTCGGGCAGGGCCCGCTGCTGTCCTAGGCCCAGCAGTGCCACCTCCAGTGCCAGCGCCAGGTAGGACTCCCCAGAGCTCCCAGGTACCTGCACGTGCTGGTAGGCCACCTTCCGCTTCTCGGGGCCCGCGTCTGTGGGAGACCGGCACTAAAGATGCTGGAGGGGGACCCCTTTTCTGGGACCCCAATGGCCCTTGACCCCAGGCATGGAGACTGAGGGTACGTGGTATAGGGGAGTCCAGCTGCTCCCAGCACCGACCAGGGGCTGGGCCATCTTCAAGCAGCAGATAGGCCTACAGTGGCCGCACTGTCAGAAGTGAAGCCCACTGGCTCCTTGCACTAAGGGAGGCGGGGAGGAGGTTACAGCTAGGGTGAGGGTGTAACCTCGTTTTCTAGGGGTACTGAGCCAGGGGGCTTAACCAGAGAGGTAGGGATTGCCCCACCTCCTCCAGGGGACCCCAGTGTGGGTACCTGAGTAAAGGGCAAGGGTATCTTCCTCCAGGCGACAGGCCTCCAGGAGTGCCCTGCAGAGGCAGCCGACGGGGTCCAGGGGGTGACCCACCCATCCTTCCGTGTTGGTGATGCAGGTGGAGCCTTTTTGTAGCAGCTCTGCAGGCCGGAAGTGGGGCTCAATGCCCACCCATCCTCTTTAGCCCCTGGGGGGCTTTCTCTCTCTGAACCCCCAACCAGCCACCCAGTGCCTGCCCACCCAGTGGTCATCTTCTCTGCCCCTCGCTCTCTGCAGCAGCGGTCACCTCTCCAGCCCTCTGGCTTCCTGTCCCACAGCCACTCCCAGGCCTGGCAGGACACCCGGAGGAACTGGGTACTTTCTAAGACTTCCAACCAGAGTCATTCCCCCTCCCAACCCCTAACCCCACCACCTGAGAAGCCAACCAGCAGCTCCTGGGTGTTCTCGTGGGAACTGCCCCATGGAGGCTGCCGGCTGCTGTGCTTACTGTGCTTCTGAAGTTCAAGTTCTTGAACTCAGGCAGCGGCTTCCTGACTTTAAGTCTGCATCCCCTCCAGTGGCTTTGTGAGCCCTCGATCCCCTGCATTAAATTCCTGTATGCTCAAGACACCTATGGTGGTTTGGTTTTCCCGGTGGGACCTTCAGTGGTACCCACAGACCCCCTGGGTTGCCACAGCCTCCAGCAGTTGGCATCTATGCCGACAGCCCCAGGACCTCATGATAATATTGGCGCCCACCTTTTTTCTGCTGCTTGTAGCTTTCCAGCTGATGCCGCCGCTGTAGCCGGAGTGTGTTGATGATGGCTCCGGCTAGCCGCAGGGCCTGGCGGGGGTACCCATGGGCACGCAGGGTGTCCACCCGGGCACAAGCAGTGGGGAATGGCTCCCCCAGCCAGAGGGGGCGGCCCTGGGGGTCAAAGGTTGCCTTGTCGCTGCCCACATGGCCTGTGAGGCTGGGGCCATAGCAGTCACTGGCCAGGATCCTCTGAAGATGGGGGTCACTCCAATGCAGTGACCCAGCCTGCAGGGCTCGGCCAAACACGGTGTGGCGGGAACCTGCAGCCACCTCCTCCTCCGGGCCTGTGGGAGAGGTCCAGCATGGCCTAGCAGCAGGGTCATGGCCGGCTCCCCACAAAGAGTGCCACTTAGGGCTACACTCTGGGTGCACTGGTGGACATGTGCCATGTCCTTACAGCAGCCTTTCAAAGGTGCATGGGTGGATGTGCGTGTTGAACACTGAGGTTGAATAACTGTCTTTCTGTCCATCTTTCTATTCCTCACATTCTACTCTTTTTTTCTCTTTATGTCTCTCCCCATGCCCCCTTCCTCACTCTCTCCTCCTGTCTCTTTCCTTTCATCCCTGCCTCTTTTTTCTTAATATCTTTCTTTGCTTGTTCCCCCCACACCCGCCTCCATTGCCAGGAGGAAGCTAAATTAGGAGAACAGCCAGAACTACAGGTGTCTCAAGCATTCCTCTGCACTGTCCCTTGGGCTACCCAGTGCCCCTTGGGCTACCCACTGCCTTGCCCTGGGCACTCCCTCCCTCCTGGAGGGCAGGGCAGGCAAGGGTGGGGGCCTCCTCTTTCTCCCCCAGAGCACCAGATGGGGAGGTAGGGCACTGCAGAGGTCATGGTTTTGGGTATGGCAGGGACCCTTCTCCTACCTGGGTTGAGGGCTGCGGTAGGTTGCAGGCTTGGACCGTTGAAAGAGTAGTTGCCCTCTTCCAGCGGGCACACATCCAACTTGTCCCACTTGCCAAGCAGCTGGAGCCAGCTCGCCCGCTCTTCCGGTTTACAGTGGGGGCTCAGGACTACACACACCCACAGGGCCCCTGGGGAGGGAGGGCAGTGAATGGGGAGGTTCAACGTTCATGTCAACAGTAGCAGCACCATTTCCGGACTGCCTGCCGCGTGCTGTGCGCGACTCTGCTTCACCCTCACCCTGGGCCTCTGAAGTTGCAACTAATGGCCTCTTCACGTTACAGGTAAGAAAACTGAGGCACAGAGAGGTAAAGTCACTGGCTCAAGGTCACATAGCTAGGAAGTCGGAAGGATTCAAACCCAGGCCTTGGGACTTCTCTCACCGTCCCCTACCTCCCCAGTGCTGATCACCACCTATCACAGAGGTCAGCAAAGTACTGCCCCTGGAAAATCCACCTGTTATCCGACAGCCTGTGAGATAAATGTATTCTTACGTTATTTAACGGTGGTGACGGGGGAAATCCAAAGAATATTTTGTGACTTGTGAGATTCAAATAAATAGTGTCTGTAAAAACAGTTTTATGGGAATTCTGTCATGCCCATTCAGTTACGTTTGTTTGTGGTTGCTTTTCCACTGCGAGAGGCAAAACTGGGGAGTCGCTACAGAGAGCCGATGGCCCAAAAAGCTGAAACTACTGACTACCTGGTCCTTATAGAAAAGGTATGCTAACCCCTGGCCTAACGGGTTTGCAGTATTTTCTCATCTGTCTCCCTACAGGGCGCCAGCTTCATGAGGGCAGGTCTTTAACCTGTTTCTTGCTGCTGCTCCAGCCATCAGTACAGTGAGTGCCTGGTACCTCAGAGGTGCGAATGAAGAGGAAGGACTCGGGGGCCAGACCTCAATCTCAGGGGAGGGCAAGATCTAATGCCAAGTCCTGGTGCCCGCCCCGCTCCAGGGCCGGGCCTTACCCAGCTCGTCCCACAGCTGCCGGCACTTGTCTGTCATGCCGGCGCCCTGCTGCCGCCACAGGGCCAGGCGCGGGTCCTGCAGAAACTGCTCCGTCATGAGGATCAGCATGCGCGCCCCGTTGGAGTCCCGCATTCGCAGCATTTCTCGAATCTGCATGGGGACAGGCTGGTGAGGAAGGGGTGGGGTGCTGGCACCAGTGTCTTCCAGCCCCCTGCAGCCCTGCTGTGCACGCCATGCCCACACAGCACCTTGCAGAACATGGAGCGCAGCTGCTGGCTGGCACCATAGTAGCCACCATTGGACAGCAGCTGCTTCACCTGCTCCTGGATTTGCTCCTCATCCAGGTGCCAGCAGTTGGCATCCTCAATGCTTGCACCTGCCGTGGGGTCTGGGGCACCTGCGGGGTGGGAAGGAAAGCTGAGGTTTGGGTTGGGGAGAGGGGGCCTCTGCCCCTGACATCATTCAGTCCTCCAAACCATCCTACCCATCCCACCTGAAAAACCACCCATCCGTCCGTCCGTCTGTCTGACCATCATCCCATCCACCCATCTCACCTAAAATGCTACCTACTATCCATCCATCCATCCATCTTGCTTAAAACATCTCTAGCTCATCCATCCATTTACTGATCATCCATCTTACCCAGAACACCACTTACCCATTCATCCAAGATAACGGTCCATCCCACCTGAAACATCACCTGCCCTTCTACTCATCCATCCATGCTACCCAAAGCATCATCCACCCATCCACATCTAGACCACTCACCTGTCTACCCCACCCCCCATGTCATACTATGCATTTATCCATCCATATACCCATAACCCTTAGCATACCTACCCACCCCGTTAGTCAAGGATCCACCTTACCCATACTCCCACCTGCTCACCTATCTATACCCATCCCATTGGCCCACCCACCCAGCTACCTACCCATATTTGTCTTTCCAGCTAATCTGTATCAAACACTCAAAAATATCCACTAATTCATCCACTGATCCACACAACCGCACTATCCACCCATCCAACGAACCCCAACCTTCTATCTATTCTTCTTCCATCAAACCATCCATTCATATGTATCTCCCAAAACAACCACCACCCCATTAGTCCACCCATCTGTCCTACACCCACTTGATCCATCCACACAACAGTCCACACATATGAACACCTTCCATACATCCATTAACTGACCCCCAACCCATGCACCCATTGGTCCTCCCAATATTCCACCAAGCGTATCTGTCCACCACCGTCAGTGTACAACCCCCTCAATCAAAGCCCATCCCACCCCACCTCCAATTATCACCAATTCCCCATTCACCTACCATCCTACTTAATCACCTATCCACTCACCCACTCCACCTGCTTTTCCACACCATTAGCTCATCATGAAGAACTTCTGCATCCACCCACCCCCACCCTCAAGTATCCATCCCTGTCTCCACCTACTTATCATTCATCTATCTACCATTTATCCTGCTCCATTCTCCCCACCGTTAGACAACACAGTCCCGTGTAGCCCCAAACCCTTCCAGAGCTCATGACACCTTGTCTGTCTCCCACCAGCACCCACACCTGACACCGACATACCCTTCACGTCCTTCACCCACCCACACTCAGGCCTGCGCCTGTGATCTGGGACATCCTCACCCTGGGGCCCGACCTCCCATTTGTTCCCTCAACTCTCGTTCTCTGAATTGGCTGATTTCAGCCATTCATCTGGCCAGGGCCACATCGAATCCAGAATCTCCCTCCTAATAGGTGTGTGTGCCCTGACGGGTTTGGCTCAGTGGATAGAGCATCAGCCTGCGGACTCAAGGGTCCCAGGTTCCATTCCAGTCAAGGGCATGTACCTTGGTTGTGGGCACATCCCCAGTGGGGAGTGTGCAGGAGGCAGCTGATCGATGTTTCTAACTCTCTATCCCTCTCCCTTCCTCTCTGTGAAAAATCAATAAAATATACTTTAAAAAAATAAAAATAAATAAAAAATAAAAATAGGTGTGTGGCCTTGACCTCAAGCAGTGGTACTCCCTCTACACCTGCTCATGGGTCAAGGGGGCCTGAGGATTCTGTGGCAAATGTCTGTCACCCGGCAAGCGAGGTGGCCGTGAGCTGAAGCCTCGCTGTCCTGATCAGACCGCAAGGTGCCCTTACCATGCACCAGGTTGATCTCGGAGCCCAGGAGGAGGATCTCGTCGGCCAAGCGCTGGGCAGTGGGCAGCACCTCGGTGTGGTGGGCGCTGATGAGATACTGCACGAACTTCTGCAGCTGGTCCCGGTTCATCTGGGAGAGCGTCTCGGAGATGGGGAGCCGCAGCTCCACCTGATGGGCGTGCCGGATGCGGTACAGGGACAGGGCCACCACGTGGGCGCAGTAGAAGAGGTCACGGTTGTCGCAGCCACAGCTCACAGACGTGATCTTACAGCGGTCGAAGCTGATGGAGACGTGGTAGAGGCGCTCGGGCTCCCCGGGGCCTCCGGGCTCCCGGATGTTCCCGCTCAGGTGGAAGCCTAAGACAAACACCCAACCATCACCCCGCGTCACCCCAGAGGCCGGGATGCTCCTCCACGGCGCACAGCAAGACCTGAGTGCAAATGCGGCTCAGTAACCCAGAGCAAGTCACTTAACCTCTCTGTGCCTCAGTTTCCTCATCTGTCAAATGGGAATAAACAGCAACATCCTCCTCCATATAGTTATAATGGGAAGTAAATGAGTTAATAGCTAGCAAGGGCTTAGAAGAACACTGTTGGCATCCAGTAAGGCCTAAATAAACGCACGTATACATGTGACCATAGAGGTGATATTAAAGATGGTTTTCTCAGTCCTTGGGCTACCATGGATACAGGCGGGGGTCTAGATGCCATGTAACTTCCTGGGAAGATGCCAAAGGCCTGTGACACTTGGGGGTGAGGGGCAGATGTGGCAGGCCAGGTCACCCCATCACCCCCTGCCCTTCCCTGGCCCCTGGGGAGCCCAGATGCCAGGCTCATCAGACTGGTTGGGCAGCTCAGGCCCCAGCTGGCCCCGGCTGCGTCATGTGGGGAAACGGCAGCTTCCTCATACCGCCGGAGGTGGCCGAGCCTGTGGCCAGCAGGGCCATGTCCAGGCAAGGGGGCCAGGGTTTAGGGAGGGTCATCTTGGCCAAGCCCCTGCCTCCAGCTGGGAGACGTGACCTCCCCCATGTGTTCCAGGACTAACCTGTTTTCTGGCTCTAACTGGTTCCCTTCTGAGCTCTTCTGCCTGAGGTCTAGAATCATCTTTCACCTGTGACTCTACAACTCAGCTCCCTCCCCTCCACCGGACCCCAATACCTGAGGTGTAAGGCCACCCCTCACAGCTGATCCTAACCTTCTACGCAGACTTCCACCTAAGCCTTGTTGCCTTAGGTAGGATCCCAACCTCCACCTGAGTTCTCTGCCTGAGGCCTCGTACCATTCTTGCTTCTGGCTCTATTAGACCTCGGGTCTCTCTGCCTGAGGTATGGAACCTCCCCTCATTTCCCGCTTAGATTCTCCTGCCCTCCTCCCCATCTCAGCAACTCTTTCCCACCCTCCAACTAAGCTGACTGAGCTGGCGCAACACCCTTCCTCCAGGCCCGTCAGCTAAGCCCGCTGCCTGAGGTCTCGGCAGATTCCTGCTCTTTATTCACAGGATTTCGTCCAACCTTCCCCAGAGATCCGGACACCCCCCCCGCCCCCCAGGCCTCGCGGGAAGGGCGCTTACCCACTTGGAGCACGCGGTCTACGGCCCCACTCTGCAGCAGGTGCAGCCCTCGGGTGAAGGGCACCCGGGTGTCGTGCTCGCCCTCTGGAGGCTGGTAGCCCAGGGACGAGTACATACATATCTCCCGTTCGCTGCGTGGAAACGACCAGAACACAATGCGCTTTTGGACCGGCTCCGGCACCCGGGAGAAGCGCTCCTCGACCTGAAGGAAGGGCCAGGGGGTTAGAGACCTCAGCTTGCGTCCTGGCTTTGCCACTTAAAAGCTGTATGACCCTGGACAAGTCTCTTTGCCTCTCTGAGCTTCAGGTTTCACAAGTGTGATGGGGATATTCACAGCACTGGCCTCTTGGGTATCGTGAGGATTAAATATGCATCAATCTACATAAATTGCTTATAATAACCCCTGGCCCATAGTTGATGTTCTAGAACTTTCTGCCACTATCCTCCTGGGTATCAGGTCCCAGGGTCCTGATGTAAGACAGTCCTGCCTCCTGAGAGGGCAGGAGAAAGAGAGATAAAAGTTATAAGAATAGTGACCAGGGCCATATTTTCTCAGCCTATGCTATGCTAAATGCTCTATGTATGCCATTTCCCTTAATTTTCACAGCAAAATCCCAATAATACTAATCACATTTACAGCCCGGGCCCCAGGAATCTCAGGCTCAGACATGAATGCATTCACTTGTTCAGTGTCCCAGAGCTGGTGAGCTCCAACTCCCAACACAGACTGTTCCCAGCTCCCAGGGCCCCCAGGAAGGGAGGGGTGTCCTAGCCACCCCCATGGGCTCTGGGCAATGAACCGAGCTGGATGAGCCTGTGTTCCAATCCAGGCTTGCTACTCACTGGCTGGGTGACCTTGGGCAAGTTTCTCAACCTCTCTGTGCCCCAGTTTCCTCCGAGTGGGAAGGAAAACCACAACTCCCAACGGGTTGCAGAAGATTCTATGAGCTTCTATGGGGCAAGAGCTTTCCTAGTGCCCAGCCTGGCCAGGGCAGGTACATGGAGTCCCAGATATGGTTTTAAGATTACTCTGGGCATCTCACGCACAATGAAGGGGCAGGGGCCCTCCAGAGCCCCCAGATCTGGGTTTCGGGGAGGAAGTGGGAGGGCCAGTGACTGGCCCAGGCCTCAGGGACAGTTGGTAGATGACTAAGGAGGGATTTTCCAGGCCATGAATCAGAGCATGCTCCATCCACACTCAGCCCAGGCCCGTCAGTCCCAGCAGGCTTCCTAACTCGGGAGCGGCCAGGGGCAAAGAATGGCCTCCCAAAGCCAGGCAGAACCCGTGGGAGCTCATCGGGTCCGGTCAGGTCTGGGCCACATCTCCAGCTCCGGGGGCACCCACACTGAGGCTGGAAAAGGGGACATCAGGGCTCCAGCCCTGGGCATCCTGTCAGAATCCCAGAAGCCATAGAGGCGGGGTTCCAGGTGCACCTGTTCAGGTACCATCACAACACAGACCAAGACCAGCACTGCTGCCTACCTCCAACCCTGCTGCCCACCTCCGGAAGGACTGGGATGGAGGTGGGGGGCAGAGAGAAGGGTGAGTAGTAGGGGAACTTGGGAAATCCCTGAGCCCATCAGGAGAGGCTCGGCAGCCCCAGGTGGGAGGTGATCCCAGAAAAACTGGGCGTGGGAGGGGGGACAGGACCTGGAGGAGCATAAAGGGGTGTCTCAGGCCAAGATCTGCAGAAGTGGGAGTCCTCTACCGGGGGTACCGGGCAGAGATCCGGACTAGGGGACTGTGGGTCTCTAGGAGCTGTGCTCTGGGTGTCCCCAATGGGGGCAACTTGTAGGAGCTTGAGAGGAGGATTGAATGGGGGGCTCTACTGGGGGATGAGGATGAGATGGGAAGAAAGGGGTGGTGAGAGGACCATGGGGAGGAGAAGGAAGTGTCAAGAGTTGGGATCTAGGGCGCTGGGGGCATCCCTGGGTCTTGTGGGCTGGAGGGCAGGGCTGGCGGGGAAGGGATGAGAGTGGGTCATGAGGTCTGAAGGAGTGAAATGGGAAGATAAGCGGGTGCCTCGGGGCAGGGTTAGGATCTCGGAGATTTCTCTCGGACCAGGGCAGGTACCGAGGCTGGGGGCTGGGCAGCGGGGAGGGGACTACCGGAAAGGGGGCTGGGGGTGCGTCCCTCCCCCGCCCCTCTCGGTCACCTGCTCGAAGGCCCAGCTCTCGGCTACTCGCTTGGCGCTGAGGTCCAGCAGCGTCTCGGGTCGGCCCCGGCCGCGCACGGCCCCGGCCCCGGCATCGCGCTCCTTCGGTCCCGCGGGGCAGCTCCGACTCCGCTTGGCCGCGGGGGGGTCCATCGGCCGGGGCCGGGGCGGGTCCTGTTGAGAGGGGGTCGGTCCGATGCCCGCTCCGCTTCGCCGGCTCCCGCGACCCCTACCCGCCTTCCTGTCCTTCCTCCACGCAGGGCCGCACCCGGACCCCCGCTGCTCCCACCTCCGCAGCGCGCCGGGCCGGCCGGGTGATGCGGCCCCTTTAAGACTCTTCACAACAATGAAGCAGCTTCGGCCGCCGCTTTATCCTCCGCCTCGTCCCGCCCCCGCCGCCCTTCCCAATTGGCCCCCCCGTCGGCCTCCGAGGCTCTCCTCTGCCATTGGCGGCCTGGACAGACCCGACTCCAAGTCGCCGCTGTTCATTCGTTGTTTGCGCCGCCTATCTTTACGGAGCGGCCCAGTAAGAGCGCCCAGCGAGAGGCACTGTCAATCAGGGAGCGCCGGAGGCCAATCAGAGTGGGAGGACTTCCGCGGCGCTGGCCTTATGCGAGTTTCGGGGCGGGCCTTGGGTTCATTCACAACATTCCTCCCCCGCCCCCCTCGGGCTGGACAGCGCGCCCCGGGCAGCTGGAGCTGCGCCCACATACGGCTTTGTTTACTGAGGGTCGCTTCCGGGCGCCGCGAGGGGACAATCAACACGGCTCGGCCGGGGAGCGAGACGGAGCGGCGGGACCCCCGCGCAGCAGCTCAGCCCCTTTTTCCTCTGGTCTGTGACGCGAGAAACTCTCTCAGCCCCTGGGCGCCGGGCCGTTTTGATTGATAGCTTGGGGGGTGGGGGGTGGGGAGAGATCACTGGCCCCTTAGTAGTGCTCCTGGGGGCTGCAGACCTCCTCTCTAGAAATAGATCCCAATTCAAGCTCATCCTTGAGCCCGAAGCTAGGACCCAATCCATTTTATGCCCGAAATATGTCATTGAGTCATGAAATTCTTGATGTTCCACCATTTATGCAATTAAAATGGCAGTTTCATAAGGTTCGACCTAATACATGTCAAAGACGACCACCTGTGTTTATTTTTTCTGACCCCGATTTTCCAGGCCACATCTTTGGTCTTTATCCACCCCGGACCCCTTGTCCTTAGAGAATCCGCATTTTCCCTTTGCCACACCTCTCTCCATGATCGCTGCATTTCTTTAGTTCAGCAGTTGTTTAATTTCGGTTTCTCCCTCTCTACCAGGAGCCCCAAGACGCTAATGGTGCACTGCTTTACACCCAGGACCTGAACAGCACCAGGCAAACAGCAGTCACTAAATCTATAACTCCTCGAGTGAACCGTGAACCTCGCATGCTTTGCTCCCGTTCCGTTGACATGATCTACGGAACAGGAAGAACCCAAGCTGGCCCCTACTGGCCTCATTGCTGCCCCTCCTCATGTGGAAACACTGGCTTCTACCTTCCAGGAATTTCCAGCTTCACCGCGGCACTTTCCGGCCAGTCCCCCACCCAGTAAGCTCCCTCTAACCTGCGCGGTCGGTCGCATAGGGTCACCCCGGGCTACAAGGGGCCTTTGAGTCCCTGAAATGGGGCTGGCGTGATCGGGCTGTGCTGTTAATCACGGAGTGCGTTTTGAAGACTGAGAGGCGGGGAAAAGGGTCAAGTTTCTCACTAAGAACTTTTTCTATTGATTAGATGTTAAAATGATGATATTTTAGCCCAGCTGGCGTGGCTCAGTGGTTGAGCGTCGACCTATAGAGCAGGAGGTCATGGTTTGATTCCCAGTCAGGGCATATGCCCGGGTTGCAGGCATGTGCAGGAGGCAGCCAATCAATGATTCTCTCTCATCACTGATGTTTCTCTCTCTCCCTCTCCCTTCCTCTCTGAAATCAGTAAAAAATATATTTAAAATGATATTTTAGATAAATATGGGCTAAATAAATACATTATTAAACCCTAGCCTGTTTGGTTCAGTGGATGAAGAATTGGCCTGCGTACTGGTCAAGCGCACATGCCTGGGTTGTGGGCTCGGTCCCCAGTGGGGGATGTGCAGGAGGTGGCCAATCGGTTGATTCTCTCTCATCATTGATGTTTCTATCTCTCCCTCTCCTTTCCTCTCTAAAAGGAATAAAAAATATATTTTAAAAACATTAAAATTAATTCCACCTGTTTAATTTTATTTTATTATTCCATTCCCATCCCATGCTATTCTGTTCCATTCTATGTGGTGTCAGGACATTTAAAGTTACACATGCAACTTGCATTGTAATTTCTATTCGATAACTGTGGCCTTGAGAAACCACAGCCGACCATAATGACAACAGAAACAATAATAATAGTAGACTGAAAAAATACAGAAAAACTTCCTGAATAATAATAATAGTGGACTGACTGACTGCTCTAGCTATTCAGGTATGTTGCCACATGTAAGCCTTCCAAGAGAGCTACAAGTGGGGATAGTTGTCTGTTTCTCAGATGAAGAAATGGAGGCCTGGAGAGTTGGAGTCCTGGCCTGAGCTCACCCAGACTGGGAAAACCTAGACTTAGCGGAGCATCCCTTTCCTGCAAAGGATTTGAAAAAGAGACCCCTGAGGAAGTAGTAACTGGGGTAGGAGAGAGGAAGGGAGAACTTCCACAAAGACTATGTTTCAGGTGGAAAACAGGACCCAGGTCCAGCTTTTCCTGGCCTCCCCACCCCCTTCAGCATCTGGTATGTGATGGTGCCAGTAAGCCCAGGTCCCTCTCACTGAGAATGCTTCCGTGGGCATCCCAGGATGCTGAACCAGAGAAGTCACTCCCTGCCAGTGGAAGAGAGGATGTTTAGGAGGAACTGAGAATCTGTTATCACAGAGTAGAAATGTTTTATTTTATTCTCTAACAATAGATACTAATTTGTCATCATTCCCATCTTCTGGGTGACCAAACAGAGGCACAGAAAGATCAGGTAACCTGCCCAATGTTCCTAGCAGAAAGGCTAGGGCCAGGGTAGAAGCCTGGGAGGGTGAGCAGATCCTGTCACATTGGCTGGGGATCAAATGCACTGAGTTTGGCATATACCAAGTGTGGGGAGCCGATATAGGGTTAAGCCTCAGACTGACCTGTTGGACAACTCTTCTTCCGAGTCTTAACCCAGTTTGAGACGTGGCCGCTGATTTACACGCGCTGTCATTTAAAAAATAAAAATGGGGGAATTTGCCGGAAGCTGGTCCATCCTTGTTGCTTGACACAGTCGCTGCAGGGAAGAAACATCTACACAGCATATGTTTCAAGGGACCTGGCATACTGTTCTTAATATGTTTGCTCCCCTTCTTAGCACTATGTGTTCTAGCCAGGGCCACCTCCCCGAGTAAGGACTTATGAAGAACTTGGACTAAGACTGTCGGCAATAAATTTGGGACTTGTTGGGCCCACATCTCCAAGGGGTCTGCCCACCAGGGAAAGCACCAAAGCCTATACCCCTGGAGATCCACCGACACAGGGCAGTTCCAGCAGCGAGGCTGGGAGGACATAACCTTTACTGGGTAGGATAATCTCCTTCAGTCACTTCCTTGTAGCCTATCAGTAGAGCAGTGACCTTGGAATAGCCCTTGGAATGGAACACAGAGATTAACCTAGACAGGATTAAACTCAACAGAACTAGATAGAGACAGGATTATGGAAATAAAAGTAGGAACTGTAGAAGGTTACCCAAAACATACCATGATGTGATTATAGAGGCATGCTTACAGGATCAAATGGTATAAATACAGATGTAAGAGGACAATAAAAAGAGAACCCAACCATGCTGATCAACTGAAAAAAAAACCCACAAAACCTGGCTATGATGATCAACTGAACGCTGCCTCCGTGTCATTCCTTCTTCGCCGACTCCGTCCACACCTTTGGGAACCCCTGGATCTGTTGGGGCTGGACCCCAACAACCAAGATTCTATTCTGATCCCCTGATTTTACAGAGAAGGGGAATGAGGCCCACAGAGGGTCAGAAAGTTGCTCAAGGCCACACAGTGATCCTAGGAGAATGTGTGAGGTCAGAAAGGCCCTTGGGAAGATGAGGGTGCCCCCAGGAGGAAGTCACTAGGCCCATTTCAAGTCTGCCCTCTTAGGAAAGAAGTTGGGAAGGGGGTTCCAGCTACCCTTGTGGTCCCTTTCCCAGGGCAGCCAGCAAGCTGGGGTTTCAGTGAAATAGAAGCCACTTTTATTTCCCCAGCCGGCTGTGAGCTCACTGTCTAGGCATCCACAGCTCCTGACCCCAAACCCACGTGTCCTCAAGACTCTCGGGAAATGGGACAACCCTGGAGGCTCAGAGGAGGGAGAACAAAGTCCCTAGCTATGGCCACCCCCACCCTAATTTTCTGAGGATCGCTCCCTTTGCCAGGCCCCCGTGCACCCCCATGCCCCTGTTGACTCAGGCAGGAAACCAGCCGGGGCAGTTTCACTTCCTGGTCCCCACAGCCCCTCTGGCCTGCCCAGCTGGCAAGATTTGCTTCTTACATTTTTTTTTTCTTTCCTTTTAGAACACAAGTTCATGGGCAAAGTGTCAGGGCCCTGCCAGGAAAAATGGTCATTCAGGCAGAGGGGGAAGGTGGAGGCAGGGAAGAGAAAAAGGCTTGGGGAAGAATAATTGTGTCTGAAAAGCCACATTTAATGGCTGCCCTGTGTCTGGGGAGAGGCCTGGAGGGACAGGCCTAGAGGTGGGACTTGGGCTCCCGTCTGCCCCACAGGACACAAGGGCAGCTAATATTCACACCTGCAAGTCCCATGGCCTTAAGGCTCCTGAATTCTCCATTCTCAGGATCCCATTTAAAAGATGGGGAAACTAGGGCTCAGAGAGGTGAAGGGACTTGGTCACAGACAGAAGTGGCAGAAATTGGCATAGAAGGAAAGGTATGGGATTTTCCAAAGTCTGGGGCTCTTGGCTCCAGCATTAATGGGAGGGTTGTGGGCCAGTGAAAGGATCGAAGGAAAAGTCAGACAGGGCAGTGGCGGCAGGGAAAAATGTGCCTATTAGGGGAGTCTGAGGGGTGGGGTAATGGGGAAACAAGTGGGTTGACATTCCAGACCCCATACCTGTCACACCTGAATGACATTCCTTGCCCAAAGCTCATCCTGTCCCAGCCATTCATCTTTGGAGA